TTAGTTGTACATGTTTAGTTTAACATGTCAAGAGCATATCACATACACTACTGGGGGAGTTAGATTGAAATAAAAACAAATTAGATAAAAAGTAAAAAAGTTTTCAAATCCAAGCATTACGAATCGGGGGTTTGAATTCTTAGTCCGTTTCAAATTGTTAAAAAAACAAAAGAAAATGACCAATAAAATCGCTATGGATTTCATACAATCATTTTTCTTTATTAAAAAAATATTGTCAACCTTTTGACTTATAGATAAATTATTATTTTATTAATATTAAACATTTTACAAGTAAGAAATATTGTAATATATTTTTTAAAAGAACGCAGAATTTCAAAATCTTATCAATTGTGTTTAATAAAACTACAAAAGTACCAGAACTTCCAATTTTTGAAGTAATTGCAAATCTAATTTGGCTTGATTAAAGATGAATTAAAAATGTATATATTCAATAGGCTGAGCAAAATCCAAACTGAAGAATTGAAAATCAATATTTAACTACATAACAACCTTTTGATATCTAACAACACTTTTGTAAAAGGAAAATAAATCAGTTTTTTGCTTTCGTCCCTTATAAAATAAATAAAAAGTCAGCACAGTGGTGTCGGTAAGGTCGAAAGTCGAAAGGGATTATTCTACAACTGGAACTGATAAAATCACTTTCAAGTATAAGCAAACATACAACTATATAAATGGTATTTGGTAATAAATAATAAATATAAATAATTTTATAAGAGATTTTTTTTAATCAAGACATTTTGAATAATTGATTGAAAATAATTGTTAAAATTAAAAAAAAAAAATACACAATTAATTCTATTAAAAAAAACGCATCTATCTTACCATTATACAGAATACATTTTATATAAAATAACATAAAATATTAAGGAACAACACAAAAAGCATCGGATGCCAGTATTAAATTGTATAAGAAATGTTGTACTTATATGGTGTTTTTGGTTTTTTTTCTTAATTAAAAAAACTTTGGTTACAGAATTTCAAAAATATTGTACCTATATAATTTTAAAAGCAAGCTAGTTTTATTTGCGGTCCAATTTTCAGACCAAATTCAAAAACTATAAAAAAAAAAAAATGAATTAAATAAAAAATTACTACGGCTTTCTAGGGGAAATAATTTGTATTTTTTTTTATTTGTCAATGTAATAATCTATAGTACTACTCAAGAACATCTTACAAAAATGCTGTAATTTTAACAAGAAAAATGTATGTATATATTTTTAGGTCGTTTTGTGTCGAAATTTTGTAGGGGGATCCGTTAACTTTTCAAAATGTTGGCCTAATAATTTGCCTTTTGTGTACAATTTTTAAGGTAGGTAACTAAGACTTGATACACGAATAAATCAGTTTAGATGTTTAAAAGTAATTGTGGATCCGAACACAAAAACAAACGTTTAAATAACGAAAACAAATTATTATCATTTTGAAAAGCGTACCATCTCGGCTCCGATATATATATCTCAGTACAGAGCATTTATATAGAGCGGTATGTTATATTAGGATTTTTAGTTTTTGGGAAATACACTACTACCACGGAGTTAGTCAAATATTACACAAAACGGATTCGAGGAGACCACTTACTTCATGATGTTTTAAGTAAATACTAATTTCGACGGATTTCCTGGGAAACGGGGTCGTTATATATACTAGATGTACCTATATTCTGTTTGAACTAATAAATTGTTTAATTTCTTTATTGACTCAGGACTCTGGAGGGTGCATATTATCGATATGTTGTTCTTAGGCGAATTATTAGTAATTACGTTTGTTGGCCAAAACGGTTTTGTTGATTTTATCGATATTATTACTATTATAAGGGCGGAAAACTATTCTCGGTAAAAATACAGTTTAAATAAACTCACCATAGGAGTTTGTTATTTTTCACTGCTACCCACAACGACTGCCGGCCGGCTATATAAAAAGCATAAGGCACGTATTGGCCGTTTGACGATTTTCGCCAAGAAAAAAAAAATGTAATAATATATATATATATACAAAAAGGACAAGAAGTAAATCCACATGATGATGATAATGATGATATAAGAACGTTGTCAAATCGTCGGCACGAACAACCCTCACACACATACACACATTTTGGCAACCACGCGATGACAAGGGATGTTTCTCTTGTAATTATTTCCCACAACGATTTTCACTGCGGCAACGCCATCTAGTCTAGATAATATACCCTTCGATGTAATGCCAAAAGAGCAGAACTACTATGTAATAATATTATACTCAATGATAATATCGATGGCATATTATAGTGCACGGCTGATGTCATAGACAAGTATACTAAGTATAATGGCTGATGTCAAAAGTGTCTTTTTGTTTTTTACTTTACAGGTGTTATGTTTAAAAAAATTCTTCTTCCTTTTTTTGTCTTCTCAATTCATTTTTTATTTGCTTATTAGAATTGAATATTTTTCAATAGTTGCATATTATTATGTAGATAAACATAGTAACAATTTTTTGAACTAGGTATAATAAAATATGTATGTGTGTATCTAATGGATATTATATACCTATATAATATCCATTAGACATGGTATGTTAAATATAGGTGGCATATTAAACTAAAAAACTTTTTTAATCAAATCCTAATAAAAATATTATGTTAAAAGGTAATAACTAATAATTGCTAAAAGTCACATAGCAGCAATATACATATTTCAATTACCTATAAAAAGCTGAATGATGTAATGAAAATAAAGACAGATCAATTTAACCAGTTTTCAATAAATAGTACATTTTGAGTTTTTAGCATTTACAGTTTAAGCTAGTAAGAAAGTGAGGTTGTAAACAACATTAAATTTTACCTCGCCCAGCATATACCTTTGAATAATAATATGTATCTAATAATTTAAGGGGTGTTTAATATTTACCTAAAATAACGGTTTAATCGACCAGTTGTTTGACTTTTAAAATTGGCCCCATAAATTTCCCTTAAAAATAGTATTGTTTTACTAGAGTAAAAAAATTACTATTATATGAATTGAATTTGAATATCCATCTATACATAACCAGAGGTTTGAGTCGTCCCCTTGAGATTTGTTTCTATTTGCGCCATTGTCGACAAAATGCTTCTTTTTTTGACACTGCACTAATATAATATATATATATATATATATATATATATATATATATATATATATATTTATACAGACCACAGCGGTGGTAAGTGTTATCGTTTTTGGAAATCAATTCGGTCCCCGGTGAGATTTTGTCGACGGCAGACGGTATCTTTTGATTTTATTCCGACAACGCTCACATTTTTTTTCACTCTCTCTCTCTCTCTCTCTCTCTCTGAAGCGATTTGATTTTTCCGTTGACCCTTCGTGATAAAAAATAAAATAAAAAAAGAACCGTGAATCATTCCCCGGCGGTACTTTGAAGGGTCAAAAATGAAAGCTTTTCCAACCATCCTCGCAACTCCACGACCCGCCTTACACCCTCCCCCCCTTCTTTTTACCGGTAGAGGTATTGCATTCGGATTTGACGTGCATGTAAGTACAAACGTGTACACTATTTACATACACCATCGTCCATCCTTCGGGAATAGCTCTCATGTAAATATATATATAAATACGGGAGAATAGCCGTGAAAGGTCACAGAGAGAAAACTGTAAAACGTACATTACGGTAATAATATTGCCTGGCGATTGAAGGCCGTGATCGCCACTATATACCTAAATGTATAATATTGATACAGTACCTTCAAGAAAGGTATTGAGATACCTAAACAGACATGGGTCAAATGTATATTATATAGATATGACGTCCTAAAACTTTGAATACCAAAAAAAAAAAAGTATACTAGCATTTTACAAGTGCACGTTTGTGTGTATAAACAATGTGTGTATAATTTTTTTCGAAGAATTGTTAAAACGCTTTGAGATAAAACTTTCTTTTTTTTTTTTTACAAATTCAAACTTTTAAGATGTCACATTTCGTTTTTATTAACATTATATGTAACATCAAACGGATGATTGTTTAGTTGACATTTGTTTTTGTTTTAAATCTTCAAACTGACGATTTCCTCCCCTCCTTCGGTTTCCCCGCCAAAAAAATGGAATAGACTTTCAAATATGATATAATTGTCGATACCGTCAAATTTTAAGGGCAACCCCTACAATAAAAAGCCAAAAAATTATCACTAACCTCTCGCAAAAAGAGTAGAAACTCTACTTTTATTTCAATTTTTATGTGCAGTTTGAAGGTTTAGACACAATAACAAATTTAAAAAAAAAACTGTATATTTTAAACTTTTTATTTTTTTATGAAAAGCCGATAAGAACATAATAACACAATAACTGTTGTTGAATGTAGTGCACTGTGTGTTTAGGAAAGAATAATAATTTTCTTGTGTTATTTTTCTGAAAATAATTTCAATGGTTTTTACAGTATTAAATTACAGTATTATATTCAGTAGATTAATCTAGATTAAAAAATTATGAAATACATAAATTTATGCTGCCATATTTTTTGGCATGGTCTCGACTTTTTTTCATAGTAGAAAACTTAATAAATCAAAAATATGATTATAAACCCGTTTAACGTCTATAAAATTATATATATTTTAATTAAAAGTGATTTAGTCAGTGAATTATTTCTAAAGTTCCTAAGGTAGTATTTACAGGTGGAGGGGGATAGATCCACACAATACCTTTTTTTAGACTCGCCTATAATTAAGTACAATTCACAAAAGCAAATAATAATTTAACTTATGTAATATTACATAGAAATATCATTTACAATTGAAATTGTTCAGTATATTAATTACAAAAAAATTGTTATCAATTTAAATATAAACACATTGTTTTAATTAACTCCATTTAAAATTTAAATACTCGTATGTATTATCCCAACATTTCTAAGCTATAGTGTTAAAAATGAATGATTTTTGTTTCAAACTGTTGCCAGAGGAAAAAAATAATTTATAGTTTAAAAAAAATAATTTATAATAGTTAATACAAATCACATACATGCTATCGGTCCTGTTGCAAACCAAGTTTTATATTTATTATTTGTACTTTTTTGTATGTATACAAAAAATTCTGTTACAGAGGTATTACTAAAAAAAAAATTAATATATTTGTATTGTTATGCACAAAAAGGTTTAATATTGGAATGATATTTTTTTAAGTCAAGTTTTAATCCAGACCTTCTTTCTTTTCCCGTAGTGCCTCCTAAAATAAAAAATAAAAACATTATTAAACAATTTTTTAAAAATTTTGTTTGCTAAAAATATTGACTGAATGATATTTTCAATTATGATTAGATATTTGCAACTCATTTTATAAATATGCTTTTAAACAGATTTTCATCAAAAGTGGTATTTTTTTTTTTTTTTTAGAGATTTTATCTTTTTTAGTTGAGGTGTTGCGTGGCAAAATGAAAAATCTCAATCAAAATATAAAAATTCAAGTTCATAAAAGTTTTTATAGAATTGTTCACGTTGAATTCACTAATTTGGTTACACTAATTTTTATCAAAAATTATTCCCCGCAGAGAAAACGTTTTAATAGTTAGTGGTCATAAAAGAACATAATGTGTGGTAAGTCGGTTTTTTCCAACTTGCAAGAAATCACTGCTTTTGGAGATTTTTGACTTAGCAACGCAATGCATCAGTTATATTAATAAGACCTAAACTGGTCTACTGGCTATTTTCTTCTTAAAAATCGATAAGTAATTGAGTAGATTTTTTGATAAGAAAAAAATAATAACATTAAAATATTGACCTACGTTTTGCAATAAAATCCCAAGTACTTATTAAGTTAGTAAACATATTATTACACATAAAAGTGGTATTCAAACCACAATATACTATGTTGCGTCTCTTCTCGCCTATGTTTACAATTAAGCTTGGAACTTGTATGTATATTAATATTAAAAACCAAACATGGGACCAGGTAAAATCTTCATTATATGTTATTATCATATTTTTGTGATTAGTTGTTTAAGTTAACGATAACAATCAGTGCGATAATATTAAGACTTTACTTTGAATCGTTCTTCAAACAATGAAAGCTCGGCTAGAAGATCGGTAATAGCGTTGGTCAAAGCGTCTTGAGGAGTGTAGTCCGACGTGGTCTGTATGCGTAGTTCAAATTTATGCTCTAACGGATGAGGTTGCTTGTAACCAGCAAACAATACATTTGGGTCTTTGAGTAATTGGCTGGAAACAACAATAACATAATATAATAAACTTTTCGACCGTTGTTAAAAACATTGTTTCTCCTACTTCCTAATCATGTTTGCCAAAGTATGATCTTCCTTGTTGACAGTAAATATGGCGGCATTCGTAACCTTTGTGTCAACTTCTTTTACAATTCTGAAATTCAATTTTACAAATAAAACTCCGGCAAGTACAATACATACTACCTACCACTTTAAATTAATTACAGTGGAAATCGGTAAAGCATAATTTATAATCAAATCGAGATTCAAAACAAAGTTGTTTGTTGTAAACGTTATTGCTTGGTATCAAAGTGTCTCGGTGGGATATTCAAATTTGTTTATTATGAATTTTACTCCAGTGATTTCCATTATTTGTAATAATAAAATAAAAATTATATATTCGAACTTACTTTTTTTCACCGTCGTACAGTAAAAACGATTCAAAGGTCGGAGGAGCGTTCATATTGTTTTTATTAGTAGAATTATTTTATTTAGATTGTTCGATAGGTGTATTATTGCATTTTTGCATTAGTACTTAATACTTTTATTAAAATCAAAACGCGTTTATATCATCACAACAATTTACTGACAACAGATAAGTGATAACAATATATGGTTATACGGTTGTAACGAATGGTTACCTCAATGGTTACCTTCACGTAACCGTTTATATCTAGAAAACATGTCAATTTGGCGCGTATATCAAACATTTTGAATAAATACATTTTTTTGAATTGCAACTCGATAAATACTTCTTAAATTTTGTTTTAAATGATTCTCCTATAAAGGAAATTTAAAGGAATATATATAAGGAAAAATGTATTTGAATAATTTTGAACGACTCAATAAACACAATATCATAGTTAATATTATCTAGTAAGTAGTACAATTAGGTAATATGTAGATTTTCACCCGTGCAATATTAATCTACAAAAATTATCATTTAGTAGTTTAGTACATCGATTATTAAATTATTTTACTTACATTTCGGCGGACGGAATTCAAGATAAACACCCTGAAAATGTACACATTTATTTTAAATAAAATTACTGCACGCTATAACTAAAACAGTCGTTTAAGTACAATTTGATCTATTTATAATATATATATATATGTATATACATATATTTTTTTATACTAAACAAAAATTATCTGTTTAACGTAAAATTAAAATATCAGTTAATAATTGTTGAAAAAAACAGAAAGTCTACATAATTTACTAATTAATGATATAGGTTGGATTTTGTAAACTTTAAAACTATATTATCAGCAAGCAATAGCGAATTAACACCAAGGAACATCGTCCTGTATGCTTTTAGTAAGATCATACATTACTAAGAAAAACAAGTATGGTCTTTAACACTAATTTTGCTAGGTACTGTTTCCTTGTAAGAATTTTTCGAACTGCACATCTATATTTTAACATAATCTAAATCGCGAGAGGCTTAATTGAACCCTTTTTAATGTTTTAACATAGTAACTAAATAGTTTCCAATTTACAATATGTATCAATATATTTTATAAGTTTGTCGCGGCCGTGTGATTTTGTAGAATAATAACAACATTTTAGCAATATTAGCCACTCCGTTCTCCGGTATTGTTCATTCTTACATAAAGAATAAGGCTTTTAGAATATTTGGATTTTGAAAAAGAAATCGTTTTGAGTTTAATAACCCTAGTTGTTTAAAAATGTTATATGATCCCTTGTTAGGTCAAATATTGAAGATGAAGTCCTTATTAAATTAAGCAAGGCAAAAAGCTTGATGAAATACATAACCGTTTTTTTTTTTTATTATGTTAAAGTTCAAGTTGGGAAAACATGATACAAATATTGAGGACTAAGCGTTAAAGGATGAAATTGGATTCGCTAGCTAAAAGATGAATTAATAACAATATTAAATTTATATTGAAACAATAAATAATGATAGTGATTGTCCCGAGTTATTAGCTCAAATAAGCTTTTACGTCCCTACACAACACACTAGATCCCCGCCATTCCTTTACATTTCAACTTATAAACAAGATTACAGTTTGCACGCTCCTCTCAATAAGCTTTTTCTCTAATTGTAATAAACCGGTTAGTGTTGATTTTTCTTATGATTCGGAATCATTGATTCCCTAGCCAAGATTGTAGCTCTGTAAATTATGTTTATATCATTTATATGTTACGTATTGTAGGGTATGTAGGGTATTAGTTTAGTCTCGGGTTAGTTTGGATACTATTGTTAATTTTTTTATGTAAAATACGTTCTCAAAGGCAAGCAGTATACGTATTTTTGTTTATGTATATTGTTGTTTGTTTGATAAAACAATATTATTATTGTTATTCGAGTACTAGTATATCTGGCCAGTTCTCGAATCTGGTCACACGTTATCATGGCAGGTCCGCTTTGCTTACTCGATGTGTGTTTCGCGGACGCGGCGAGAGAATCATTTTTAAGCGTTGACTTTTTTTGTTTTTATCCGACGACCATATTTTGTGTGTGAATCAATTGGTCGTGAAAATGATTTGTAAAAGTGTTCTAACCAAACTGTCCGCGGCCGCGTGCCGCCGGCGTTGGTCGCCGATGGCGATGGCGTACTCGGACTCCTCGCCACACCTAACCGGGCTGCTGTTGGGCGTGTACCGCGGATGCGAACCCGGCGAAGTGGTGTTGACCAGAGAGGCGCAAAAGTTCGACGAGTCCGTGATGGGCAAGGCCAGCCAGTTTCTGCAGAGTTCCGGCATTGCCCAAAAGAAGACTGTGGTGGCGCACAATCTTCACGATAACTACTTCGCAGTGGCGTTCACCGAAATCGGCCCGAAGAACGTCGGGTACAGCGCGCGGGAAAACCTCGAGCAGTGCCTGGAAATGACGCGGGTCGGGGCGGGCGTGGGCATCCGCGCGCTGCAGTCGTACAACGTGGACGAGGTACACGTCGAGTCCATGTCGGACGCGGGCGCCGCGGCCGAAGGTTCCGTGTTGGGCTCGTGGTTTTTCGACGGTTACCGGCGACGCGAGCCGCTGCCCAGAGTGCCCAAGCTGTGCCCGTTCTACGTCGGGGACATGGAATCGTGGCGCAGCGGCGTCATGTTGGGCGAGGCGCAAAATTTGGCGCGCCGGCTGTCGCACGTGCCGCCCAACATCGGCTCGCCCGACAACATGGCGGAGTACGCGTTGCGGTTGTTATGCAAGTGCAACGTCAGTGTCAGTGTGCGGGACGCCGAGTGGATCGAGAAGAATCAGATGTTCATGTTGTTGAACGTGGCCAAGGGATCGAGACGGTCGCCGGTTTTGCTGGAGCTGGCCTACTGCGGCGGTCGCGAGGACGATAAACCGGCCGTGCTCATCGGCGACGGATGCACATTCGACTCGTGGGGCCTGTGCTTGCGCGACAACAAACGCATAGAGTACGGCATGTTCAACAAGTGCGGTGGCGCGGCCGTGATCGGCATAATGAAGGCCGCGTCGCAATTGTCGCTACCTCTCAACATCAACGCGTTCGTGCCGCTCTACGAAAACAAGCCCAGCGGCATGGCACTCAAACCCAGCTCGGCCGTTAAGTCGTTCAACGGCAAAACTGTCCAAGTGCACCGGACCAGCGATACGTCCCGGATGGTGTTGAGCGATCTGATCGGATACAGCCAGAATCTAAAGCCCAACGTGATCATCAACGTAGCCTCCCTGTCGTCGGATACCCAGAAGTACTTCAATGGCAGCGCTTCGGTCGCGTTCACCGAGGACGACCAGATGTACAATGATCTTTACTCCGCTTCGGCTATCACAGGCGACCGTGTGGTGCGCGGTCCGCTGTGGGATTTCTACGCGGAAAAAAACAAGTGGCCGACGATATGCGACGTCCGGGTAGTGCCGCACCAATACACCGGTGACGCCATGGCCGCCGCCATGTTTTTGGAGGACTTCAAACCGAACTCGTGCAAAATGCTCACTCTCGACGTTAGCGGCTCGGCGTTCCTCAGGAGTCCGCGGCCGGAACACTACCTCAGGCCTGGACAAATGACAGGCAGTCCCGTGCGCACCGTCATCCAGCTGTTGAAACAAATGACATGCCCCAACGATAAAAAACCTACGTGTTAATCGATTAAGTGATACTGTGATTTTAATTTTTTTTTAATAAATGTAAACACGAATGTTTCTAGGAAATTTATTTTGAATCTTATAGTGAAGTGTTCTGGATCATTTCAGATTTCCTAATTAATCTCAATAATTAAGCATTCAATTTTATTTATTTGAATGGTAATTTATTCAATCATGAAGCAGGTATCAAACTTTTGATTTGTTGAGTACTTACTACTAGTAATAATATTAACAGCATTATTTGGATATTCATTATTCATAACTATCTGCATGAATTTTTTTATACATAACTTTTAAAAATAAATTATAAAAAACATACACTTTTTTGGAATAATTTTCAAATCCTACTAATTTTAAATAAAAATACAAAATTTTGTTCAGGTAATTTTTTTTGTTTATTTAATTTTTATAATATTTACAAATAATTGGAAAAATAAATTATATTTTTCTATCCATTTTTAAAAATTAAGCTAAAGCATACTGCCTTTATTAAACAGTTGAAATAATATTTATTGTAAAATATATAAACAATTTTATTAAAATACAAGCTGCCGGACCCGGCGTTTCTTTAATCATCACCTACCATTTGCTCGAGTAGGTACCGTGGTTACAAACCAACAGTTTATTTTGGGTTACCATAGTTACAATTTACAAACATTTAATTTATATTTTATATTTCGTATTTAGAGTACAAAGTTCGTGTTTGAGGCCACCCTTAGGGGTAGAATTTTCGAAAAGTGCTATGCCAGTTAGGTTCGCGGGAGTGTACTCAACAACTTCCCAAAGTTTCATGACAATCGGATGAATGGTGTACTAATGCATAAAGGACAAACAAAGAAACAGACTTTCATTTTTATATATATATAGATAAAAGATAAAGGTGGACTGCTCACCAAGTGAATTGCCAATTGGACACAGTTTACTACTTAGTACAATGTATAAAATATAAAATATACATTGATAAGTTTTAAGGGTAAAAGTAAACTAAAATGAACGAAAATTACAATAAAAAAATTACAAAATACAATGTAAATTACAATGAGCTTATTAAAAACAAAATAAATAAAGTTTTTATGAGTACAAATGGTATTGAATTATTCTTCAGTACTGTTAAGCACATTTCACCAATTATGTCTAACACTTGAGCTAATTTGACAATATTTAAAAACGCTGCTGTTAGGGTATGAATTAAAGAATTCTTTCTTTTCGATAAAACTTAATAAAACAAACTATTTAACAGTCTATGACTTAAGCTATCATCACAGTTTTTGATGACACTTATGTATGGAACCAACACAAGAACGACTGACTTTTGTTAAATGGTGTGAAAAGTTTTCTGAAGCTTAAACAAAACATTGATAGTCAATCAACATTATCTGGATGAAAGAGGGGAATTTAGCACACAATTTTTTTGTATCTGAAGCCCTGTAAAATTTACTCGGCAAAATGTACAATTTTTTTTTTTTTTGTAGACTTATTGTGTCGTTGATAAAAAAATGACAACAAGGCACCCTTTTGTTTCACAATTTCATTGACTTTAAAAGGATACAACTTATAGTTATTCTGTATCTCCCTAATTAATTTGCCAATTTTAATTTAAAATTGTACATTATTTATTTAAGTGGTTTTCGTCGCACCACCCTTGGGAAAACGTCCAGTGCGTTTGAAGTGACTGATATGTGACAAAATAAATCACACCAAAGCTGAAGAGAATTATACACTCGTTTGTTGCAGATGTTGTTTGTACTCTAAAATGAAAACAATGTTGTTGGTTGTTACAGTTAAATAATAATAACGTTTTGGATTATAAAATAATATTTTTGTCGTTTAATGATTTTTATCACTATAAAAATAATATTTAAGTATCAAAATAATTAATGGTAAATGCGTTTTCGTAAATATAAATAATAATAATAAGTATCATCATAGATAATAATAATAAAAAAAGAGTAATCATAATCGACCGGTACGCGATTCTCACATATAACAACCTTGGATGTACATAATAATAATAATAATAGTAATAATAATAATAATAATAATAATAATAAAAAGAATAATATAAATATAAATAAACAAAAAATTAGTATGTTAAAAAAAAATCATTTTTTAAATTATTGCGTTTTTTTTTTATCACGGACCTGGAAAAAAAACAATAATTGTTAGTTATAATTTGTAAAACAACAACATTAATAATTATCAATAAGTTATTATACATTTTAATACATTGTTTAATGGTCTACTGAAGTCACGTCAAAAAGGTTTACTAAAGGGACTTGACAACACTACTATAAATGTACCTAACATTTATACTTCTTTTTAGCTTCAAGCAGTAAAAAAAAAAACGGATAAAAGTAGACTACGGAACATAATTTTCATCTCTCTTCATCTGAATTGACCTTTGAATTCTGATCACTCTGACCTACTTGTACTTTGTAATTTATAAAAAAATTTACAATGCCTTCCATTTAAAAACATTTATAACAAATTCAAATAAATAATTTTCTTTTGATCCAACTTTTGGATAGGCAAATAATTGTTAATTTAAATTATAACACGTAACACATTTTTTAATGTTTTTATATCGAAAAAAGTAAAAACACTAGTCAATTGTTAATATATAATCTGTTCATGTAAATATCCAACATACCATTTTTTTTCTTTTAAGACATTTTTAACTGTAGTGGAATTAATTAAACGAAATCAAATCTTTTCAGTAATTGAATATTATTTTAAAACGAGACAACTACCGAAAGCGAGTTCTATTCATTGAAAAAATAATAATAACATTGTAAAATTTGTCAATTAACACAACAATATAGCTTAACACACATCCTTACTGTCTTGTTATTGTTAATCCAAACAGATTAAATCCAAATCTTATTCTAATAAAAGCTATTCTTACTGCAAATTTGATGTACTTTTTTATAAATATAACATATAACTTGGGGGGGTCAGACCAATATAACAAATTATACAAATATATCGATTTTTTTCAAAAGGAAATTGTAAAATAGAAATTCAGTTTTAAACCCTACCGAGAGAATTAGTATCGTTGGATCCGTTGGTGGATTCCAACGAGTCGTCCAGTGAATTTCCATGGACTATCGACAGGTCATCAATGGTCGAACCTCGTTTACTTCCAGCTATTCGAGACGACGCAGAAACGCCAGTTCGCCTAAAAACATATGTATAAAATATTGAGCAACAATAATATGGTTTAAATAACGAGATAATTTCCAAAAAAAATACCTGAGTTTACTCCTCAAGTTGTTGTTTTCTCGGGATATTGATTCGTTAGATTCTAACAATTCGTCTAGGTCTCTTTGAATTTTACGTTTGGCTTGTTTTTCACGACTGATTTCTTCCTCAGCTTCTTCGATTTGCCTCTTGAGAGATTTTACTCTGGCATTACCCTGTAATTACAACAAAAAAAAAACCTAAGTAATAATTTGTTACTTGTTAACACCTCTATTTAACACACCTTTTCTACTTGTTCCTTATATTGATCAACCGTTCTCCTCTCGTCTTCCAATTGCATTATAATTTCTTTCATCTTCTTCTCGAGTTTGCGATTGGCTTTTTGTTGCAACTGTCTTTCCCTGTTGACAGCAATAATATTAACAATGGAAGAAGAAATCATTTCACATCCAGTGTACGTACTTGGCTTCGGATTCCAATTGTTCTTCGAGATTGACCAGCTTAGACTCCAAGTTAGAAAGTGCCGCTTTTGTTTTTACCCTTTGATTAGTTTCGATTTCGGTCAATTTGGTTTTCAGCTCTTTGTTCTGCCTTTCCAACAACATTCTCGTGGTTTCCAACTTTTGCGACGATGATCTTTCGTTAGCTAAATCTATAACAACAATTTTAAATAACAAAAACATGCCGTATTAATCAAGCAAATTACCAGAATTCAACTGATCGATTTGGATTATAGCTTTCCTAGCGCGCTCATTCAGAACCTCTGAGTTGGTTTGTTCCTCTTCAAGTTCTTCTTCTAACGCGGCAATTCTAGCGTCTAAGCGTCGTTTCTCATCGACCATAAACGTGCTGGTAAAAAAGTTAATTATAATTGACAATTAACCAAATATTACTATACAACGATCACAACTACTAACTAACCCCTTGTTCGAGTTGCTGTTCATTTCTTCCAATAAATCATCACGTTCGCTTTCGGCAACTCGTCTGGTTCGTTCGGAAGCTGACAGCTCCTCGGTCAACAACAATAGTTCAGCCTCGACTGACTTAAACTTGCGCTCAGTTTCTTTAGCGTTCGCCGAAAGTTCATCGCGCGACCCTCGGGCTTCTTCGGCATCACGAGTGGCGTCCTTCAACTGGACTTGCAGTTTCTTCAATTGTTTTAAAGCGTCCTCTTTAAGTTTATTATGCATGTCCAGCTGTTGTTCCAAATCTTTGTAGTCTGCTTCGATTTTCTTACGACCTGCTACTGCTAAAGCTCGCTGTTTCCTTTCATCTTCCAACTCGGCTTCGATGTCACGGATTTGTTTCAAAAGACCTCGACGTTTCTCCTCACTCTGTTCTTCTTTGGACTGATACAAAAATGTTTTGGATTAATTTGGCCGTATTTTTTGTGCTTGTATCGTTTTAATAGTTTTCGTGTTCAGAAAGCAACTATTACAAAAGATCATTACAACTACTTGGAAAATAAATATTTAGATTACCGTTCAGAAATATTTTCGTTATCTATACTTCAAATTTAACTATAGAAACAGAGATTTCATAATGTAGTATATTATTAAAGCACATATAAGTCATTCCGAGTTCAGGAAAAAATCTACTATGTGATCAATTTAACATAAGTTTCCTGCGAAATGTTGTTTTGAAATTGTATGAAATTCCTTAATATTTATATTTTTTTATATTTTTCAAAGCTTGTGCCAACTTTTAAACGTTATCATACTAACTAATTACATTATCAATGCAAATTATAATAAAATATCAAGTTAGACTTATCGATAACAAATAAAAAAAAAAAGTATATACTTAAAATTTTGATTTTGCAAGATAAACATTGTTTTTAAATTTTTAATGAGAAACCCACCTAAAACATAGATTTATATTATTTTTTCAGTGTTCAGACAATTATTTAAAAAAAAAAACATTTCAAATTGTTCTAGACAGATCTAACAATAATTATTTTTAAAAAATTAGTTGCTTTGATATTTTGTTGCTTCTTAAACACAGTTGTTTTCGAGGTACATACAACAAGGTCTCGTTCAAATTGGGCTCGTAGGGCTTGCATGTTCACTTCAAGTCTTAGCTTAGCGTCTTCGGTGATTTGAAGTTCATCTTCCAAATCTTCATTTTGTAAGCGTATTTCGGCGAGTTGCGATTCTAAAATTCGCTTGGCTTTTTCCAATTCGTGTACCTAAAAGTCAGATATAACATAATTATCACATATTAGAAATGTATTATTTAATTATAGTAACTATATTTTTAAGTGACATACGTTCTTGTCAGCCGTTCCTTGGTTGTTGATAAGTTCATCTAACTCGTTTTGCAGAGTTCTCTTGCCTCGTTCCAATTCTTCCACTTTGACCATTAGCTCGTCCAATTCTCTGGTCAGGGACAGAACGCGGGTTTCTTTCTCTCGAGCTTCTCGTTCAGCAGCATCACGTTCAATTGCCATTTGCTCAGAGACGGCCTAGTAAATAATTTAAAAATTAAACACATTGCATTTATTACAAAAAAAGTAAATTACTTTTTCTTCGGCAAGCGTTTTGTCAAATATTCTCTGTTTTTTCTCAAGTTCAACGACCTTCGACCGTTGCGCTTCCAAATCAATATTTATATCGTCCAATTCAGATTGTAATTTTTTTTTGGATTTTTCTAATTTATCGTTGGTCACTTGCAATTCCTCAATTTGTCTTTGAAGTGATTCATAGTCCTATGATTAAGCCAAAGAAGCATGTTATACAAACAGTATATAATAATAAAAAAACAAGTTCTAACCTTGCTTAATTTTTTGTATGTGGCTTCTATAGCTGCGCTGTGTTCAGCTTCGTCTTCCATTTTCTTTCGGCTTTCGGTAATTTGCAAGTTGAGAGCCGCAATCTGTTTCTCCATGTTTTTCTTGGACTCTTCTTCTTCTTCTAATTGTTCATGTAAACTTTCTTTTTCGCTTTCAATTTGTTTAAGTTTGGAGTTCAAAGACAGTTTAAGTTTAGTCTCTTCCTCGAGAAGCGCCTAAACAAATTGTTTAAATTAAATACATGATCTACCTTTTGTCCTGTTTTTATTTCATCCGGTAATCATTGCTCTTACCTGCGTTTCTTGTAATTGAGTTTCCATCGTACCGGCTGCTTTTTCGGCGGCTGAAGCTTTCAATTCTGCTGCTTCCAACTGATTAGTGATTGACTCAGATTCGTTACTGATTTTAGATAATCTGTCGAGCAGTTCGTTTTTCAACCGTTCTGATTCGGCGAGTTTACTCAGCGTTTCACCTGTACAATAATGGAAAAAATTTAATTGAGACCATTTAGATTCAACCATAACCTTTTGCGGGTAACTATCAATGGTACTCACTGAGTTGAGTTTCAGCAATTTTGCGTTTTCTTTCCAATTCGGATTTTGATGACGCTGACGTCTTGAGTTCGGCAGCTAAATCAGCGTTTTCGGCTTCCAGCGCTTGTTTAGATTTTTCTAGTTGACTTTTCGACTAAAAGAGCGCATAACACAAAATATCAATAAAGTTAAAACAATCAACTATTAAATTCCAAAATTAATGCTATACTTTTTTCAATGACTCAATTTGCTCATTAATAACAGATATTTCTTGACTATGTTTGTGTCGCATTTCGGTAATGATAATTTCATGTGACTGGGTGTCTTCTTCTAACGATTTCTTTAAGGTAGCTAATTCCTAATTGGAAAATATAATGTTTTAACTGATAATTTAATAATTGAAATACTTTAGTTGGGTCAAAAGGTAAACCATCATCTATCGAATAATCATACTTGTTCTCTTTTGGCCCTGAGTTCGTGTTGAGCAGCGGTTATGTCTAATGAATCCAGAAGTTCATGTTTCAAAGCTTCAAGCTCTTCATTCAAATCACGTTTTTGTTTTTCCGCTTTGCTCCTAGCCGTACGTTCTGCTTCAAGATCTTCTTGTAGCTCACCGATCTGCGATTCCAATTCTCGGAGCGCTTTTTGAGATTGGGCTTTACCTTTAAAAGAATTGAAAAAAAAATAAGACATTTTTATGCAAAGAAGGTCAGTATATTTTACTCACTGGCAGCTTCATCATCAATTTTCATAAAAGCTTGTGTTAGTTCTTCTTCTCGCTTGCCCAGTTGCAGCTGTAGATCTTCCACTTGAGCTCTCTTTTCATTAAGTTGTTCTTTGAGATCATTTACCTTAAAATAACAAATAATTTTGAGGACTGTCGCTCCAACACCAGAAACACAAAAGACTATTTACCTCTGTTTCGACCTTCCTCTTAGTACGATCCATTTCTTGACGTTGTTGATTGTCCTTGAGTAGACGTCCTTCAAGTTCCGAAATGGTCATTTCGTGTTTAGCTTTAAGTTTTGCCAAATGTTTGGCCTTTTCTTCTTCTTCAGCTAACGTTTGAGCCAAATCCGCTGCTCTTTCCTCTAAAACTTTCTTTTCCTTAGCCAATTTAACATTGGTGTCTTCAGAGAGCGCAACATCTTCTTCAAGTTTTTTAAGTTTGGCATCAATTTGTACTCGTTCTAACTGAAGTTTTTGTCGTGCTGTTTCTTCTTCCTCTAACTGCTCTTCTAGATCCTATAATTAATTTATAACCGACGAGTTGATTATTAAAACAATATACAAAATATTTATCTGTTGACCTTATTGTACTAACATTAATGTTGATCAGTAATTTCTTTTTTTCTTGGGCTAACGAATTAGACCGCTCTTCTTCTTCTTCGATTCTAGCTTCTAAATCGTGTAATATGTCTTCTAGCTCCAATTTTCTAGCAGCGAGTCTTGCCCTCATTTCTTCAGCTTCGGCACACAGCTCCACTTCGGCTTGTAATTGTTCAGCCAAAGCATTTTTTTCATCAACTGCAGTTTGATATCTAGCCAAAAAAAAAAGAATAAACTAAAATCAACAACAATCAACATAATTTTATCATAGTTATACCCAAGCATCAATATAAGTAACCAATAAATCGTTTATAAACTACAATGGTCTCTAAAAACCAAAAGAACCATAAGTGACCTTATTTTCTTCTTTAAACTCTTCAATGTCGAAATGATTGCACTCAACAGCCTCAAATAATTTAAGCTCCACATTCTGGTAAAAGCAACAAGATATCAACAACTATATGGAAAGACCTATGCGAAGATTACAAGAATCAATTGTGAGCCCAATATCCAAAGAGGTGAACGAATTACAGACAATTAGTTTATATCTTCCATTTGACACTCAGCCAATTCAAAATTTAACACATATCACTACATAATAATTAATTTTGTTACCATACATTATTAATATATTAGTGTTATTATTAACTATTGTTGTACATAGTTTATTTTTGTCTATATTTCATATTTTATGATATTATATTATCATAAAAGGTTATTTACCCATCTAAATAAAATAAAAAATAATTCCACCATAGAAAAACTGTTACAAAAAATTAGCCATATTGTTTACTTTTTCTCAAGCTCAAAGACATCACGTTGTTGAGAGTCCAATTTTTCTTTGACCACCTTCAATTCTTCTTCTTTCATCGTCAACACTTCTTCTTGTTTGGTGACTTCTAACAGCGGCTTGACTTTCGTATACAATCTCCACCATTGCCAGTTTCTTAATTTCAAATATGCCGAACAATTGCGCTGGATAATACGAATGGCGTTCAATTGTTGCAAACGTTTCTGGTAGTTTCTTCGAGCCAAGTATCCTCTGCAAAACGCCTAAAAATCATATTAAATTAATGTTAATAGAAAGCCAACAGAGTGGGATTCAGGGAGTTCACAGATCATCGAGAAGTAATACACCCGAAATTAATAAAATCACTTTAAAAAAAACGCTTTGATTCGAAACAGAAGATGGTTAAGTCTAACGGTTAAAAAAATATTGTAAATTTAGACCAAAAATTGAGGGGGAAAAAATGTCTCTGCTACATGGAAAAACATTGAATCATGGATATAGTTTTAGTTATTTCCTTGATATAACTAGATGCATTAAAGTTATTCATGTAAAAAAATAAAAACATGACATAGTAACAATACATACAAGCTCAGCTTCGCATCAAAGTTAAAAAATAACACATACCAGCCAAGTATAATTTGTCGATAAAACTTACTTGGAAATTGACAATAAGATCGGAAATCTTGAAATCACGTTCTTCTTCCAAGTGAGCAAGAACACCAGCCCTGAAGAATATTTTCGACTGTCCCACTCTATACAGGTTGGAATCGAGTTCGAGGATATTTATCATTTTTTCACAGGCTTTTTTACCGTCCATAAAACCTTTGGGTATAGCGTTCGAGGTGAGCAACTCGTAACGCTGTCGGAATTCCTGGAACGGAATACGATTGGGGAAACCCTGTCGGCAAATCCTAATACCTTCCAACACGCCGTTACATCGCAATTGGTCTAACACTAGTTGAGCATCGATTTTGCCAGCACGTTTTTCGTGATTAGGAATGATACACCTGACGAAGTTCGGATTAGTGTTCCTAAGGGTGATCATGAGTTTGTTTAATTGTTCCTTGTATAACTGTGACACCGTACGGAACATTCCTTTTCTGGTCCTCGCGCCAAACTGTGTGTCGCTCAGCGCCTGATGGGCAATGCCGACGATTTCAGCATCTTTCCAAATGTGTGCGACAAAGAGATCTTGGGACGTCTGAAGGAGTTGCACAATATTTTCGTTCAATGGATCCATGTTCTTCATCAACCACTTATGAGCAGAGTAATCGACTTTGCCGGCATAATGGACTATTGAGAAATCGGCAACACCTCTGAAGTCAGTTTTTAAAAACTTGGGATGGACGCCTTGGGCAGACATCAATTTCTCTACGAAAGATTTGTCCGTAGCCTTTGGGAACCAACATTCTTCATCTAACAAAGCCATAACTCCCATTGGCTAAAATCAATAAATTTATTATGTACAAATTTAACATTTATTTCAACAATAACATACTTTGTCGATCAAATCGATAGTCGGTTGTAGATCCAAACCGAAATCAATAAATTTCCATTCAATACCTTCTCTTTGGTACTCTTCTTGTTCCAAAATAAACATAGTATGGTTGAAAAGCTGTTGCAATTTTTCATTGGTGTAGTTAATGCACAATTGTTCAAATGAGTTTAACTGTTTCAATAGTAAATAAAAAAAAAACAATGTTAGTTCAAAATCGCATAATACAATAAGTATTGTTACACAAATTATGATTTAAATTTTATTACCTCAAATATTTCAAATCCAGCCATATCTAAAATGCCTATAAACGAAGCGCCTTGTCTCTTGGATCGATCCAAAGAACGGTTTATGCGATTTACAAGCCAACGAAACATACGTTCGTAACATGCTTTGGAAATAGCTTCTACAGAAAATTCAACTTGTTCTTTGGTTTGAGCTTTGAACACGTAATCTCTGCCGACTTTGATACGAGGTCGAAGGAAAGCCTTTGTCATTTCAGTAATGGACAGACCCAACAAATGAGCAACTTTTTGAGCTACGGTGTTGTCGGGTAAGGTCGCTTGGTCGCTGTTGCGTTCCTGTTTAAATTGCATGTTTCCAAACAACATAACGGCACTTACAATTCGGAAAATTGCTAGACAAAAAAATTACTTCAATAAGAGCATAAGTAAGACACCTTTGTTTTAAAACAAACCCGAATAATCTTCAGTCGTCATTCCCATGATGTTCATGGCGTTAACAGTTTCCTTATATTCAGCAGCATCATCCACGCCGGGCACGGGTAGGTTGCCGTTTGTTAGGAAGTTGTAGGTTTTGGGATCTTCAAGGATAAATTCCTCTAAGCATTTATTAAAAACAATCAAATATTAAACTATTATTAACATTGTATGTTTTGAAGAATTATGCTTATTATTAGACCAAATTGTTGCTTACTTCTTTGTTCAGGTGTTGCTCCGCAAAGCAACTGGTAAAAAATGTGGAATGTACGTTCATCTTTGGCTTGTCGTATAGCTCTAGACTTTTCCAATAGATAAGTTTCAATGTTGGCACCGGCGATGTAACCAGACGCATCGAAATTGATACGTATGAATTTACCCTAGAGAAAAAAGGAAAACATGGTTAGACCAAAATATTGTAGTTGCGTATTGTCAACTTACAAATCTTGAAGAATTGTCGTTTTTGACAGTTTTGGCATTTCCAAAAGCTTCTAAAATTGGATTGGCTTGTAAAAGCTGTTGTTCGAGTTCTCCCTGTTAACATTTGTTATGATTTTAACTCATCAAGTTGTTATTATTGTAAAGAAAAATAATAATATACGAGTAGGTACATATTATATATATATATATATAAAGGCACTCACCTCGAAATCAAAACTGTTAGTTAAATGATTAGTATTTGACTAATTAATTAGTTAATTACGTCAAATCCAGGTGGAAAGCGTGCAACAAAAAGCATTTTGTTTAAGCATTAACGGTAAAGTCAGAATAATTTAGACATGGGCATTATTTAAACACTTTTATATTTAAATTTAAATTTAAATAATTATTAAAAATAATTATGCAAATAATAATTTAAAAAAAAAGTTCCTTGAACAAACTTAAACAAGAAATACAAATATAAGTATATTTAAATACATTTTTAGTTGTGAACTTAAATACTTAATCAAATCTATTTATAAGTTAAAACAAACCATGAAATAACAATTAAAATACAAATTTAACCTAATGTGGTATACTAACTAAAAATTTATCTAAATAAAATATTATTTGAAACTATTAATAAAAATGTATTATAAATAATTCACTTTTTTAAAAAAATTATTTGTTATTAAATAAAATATGCCCAGGTCTGGTATGATTTTAATGTAAGCTGTATGCGTTATACAGTAGAACGTCATTTAAGTCGTAAAAAAACAACTATTTAAACAATTTAAACAACAATTAACGTTCTAATATTGGTAGCCCAAAGGTACAGGTGAAATGGGGGGAAAACTTGATTAGTTTGGAATTCAAATTACTTACAACGACTAAGGCGGGTCCAGGTGACTACAATTTTCCAAGTAACATGAAAAAAAAACAGAAAACAATAGAAATTAGTTTATCACACATTTCAAGGTCGACCATATTATATATAGTTTTAATTTCAGTTCGTTTTCAAACACTTGAAATACATATTTTACAATACTAGTTTAAACCTTATACAGTTTTTTACTCCATTCTTATGTAGATGACAGTAATCGTTAAACAATCAGCCTTGATATTAATAACCTAATACTCGTGACAAATAATAATTGATTATGCTAGGTTTGATAAATATAATTATTAAGTAAAGGGTTGTGTAGAGTCAAAATCTAATTTTTTTTTTTTATTTACCCTGTCAAATCGTTTAAAATCTCGTTTATCTAAAAAAAGTAATAATTTGAAAAATAAACGATACTTTCAGGCTTCCAGATCCGTACAATATAAAAATCATAATTTTCTTTTATGAATTGAAAAAAAATTAACTATATATCTATTTAAAAAACACTATAATAAATGTATATACATTTTATGGACGATTTTTCAAATGTCTAGAACACTCTAAAAATCACAAATCGGCGTTTTTAATTTTATGATAAACATATTGAGACCAGAATCTACTTCAGCAAAAAATAAAAAAAAATTGTATACTTTGGTTCTTGTTCCAAAACCGTGTTCCAACAATAATTATTAAATAAGAATATTTAGGTAACATTAGCAAAAGATCATTAATTTTAAATTTCTTTCTAAGTAAAATATTATGTCTAATATGACACGATAAAGATCAGCTAACATAATAGTAGAATATATAAATAATGTACACAACAGATTATCTGGTAAACGCATAGGTCCAAAAAAAAAAGAGTACCTACTAAATCAAGTTATTATTAGTAGAACCTGGTATACAAAGCTAAAAAATAAAATTTGATTTTTTTATTTAAATAAAAAATGATCTGAAATGTCCAGTTTTGGCGCTTATCAGGTTAAACGCTATAATATATTATTTAAACATGAAAAATTAGTTCTTATCATCGCCCACGTTATAGAACGGTAATATAAATACAAAATCTCGTTTTAACCGATACTCGTTATAGTGATGTCTACTGTGTTAACATATGCGTAGTCTATAAACCGACAAAGTAGGTTTAAAAAAAAATTCAAATTATAAAATACCCAAAAATGTTATATTACAAATTTCCAGACATAAAATCCAATAGCTGCGACTAAAAACGAAATTTAGGAATATTTGTTTTAAAAGTGCAAATAATAGATAGTTTTATAGAAAATATTTAAAATAAATATTCAATAATCCATAAAATGTCGAGAAAGGTTATTTTAAATTTACAATTGTAATGCAACATATGGATTATATTAAAACAAAAGTTAACAGTTCCATTTGATTCTTACTGATTAAACACAACTTAAATGATTAAAATGCAGATATACAATTATATGCACCGAAGGGTTAAAAATGAAAGTCTGTAAGAAATGTGAATATTCAAACAAAATAAAAAAGTTGCATACTTCTGTTTTATAATATTTATAATATTTAGTGTTCAGGACTCAATTTTAAACTAAAATTGTCTTAATACTTTTTTTTTTTGTGTAACATAATTTTTTCGTTTAATAGGTTTTTGTCGATAATTGACGATTATACAAGACATTTTTTTTTTGGTTTTACTATTTTATAATGTTAAAGCTACTCATATTTGAACAATGGTAGAGCCATCGTACATACGTTTTGTATTGTTGTTAATACATGAGAAAACAAAATAAAGAATTAAAATACTGTTTTACGTTATATAATATATTTCTTAGTATATACGAAGATTAAGAAATAAGTTTATTTATACAGATTTTTTTTTAACGAAAATCGAAAGTGACATCGCTTTTTTCCGTTTCTTTGTCGATTACAAATTCGCGGGACTTATTTCCGACACTCGTTTCATGGTCTCATGACCTGACTCATGTGTGGGAAGAGTAAATAGCAAGTATACATAGTATTATAATGAATAATAATAATAATGATTAACGATGTAGCATTTAAAACACAGTCGGATAAAAGCGTTCGGTGAAAATAAAGCTGAAAAGAGCATATTACTATACTTGACAGGGGTTCATGCGTTGCACATCAATCTTACAACATATCATGTCCTATTAAACGCTATTTTAATTTAACAAATGGATAAAAATATAAACGAAAAATAATATTTACATAAATCCGTTACGGGCATTGCGGGAAAATCAAATACATACATTTGTATACTACATATTTAACATTTTTAATTTTTCAATATATTTGACTTTTTTTTTATAAACTATCAATTGTGCACTGTGTCAATTTTACGCATTTTTTTTATTGTAGCACACCCACCTTTAAAAATATAAAAATAGCATATAGTAAAATGTAAAACTAGATATTAGATATGTAAATTAACTTTTTAAACTATTTATTAAATAATTAAATAAAAATAAACACTTGAAAACCGAATGCCTGAGGAAATATAATAAAAATTGAATTGCAATTAATGAAAATATAAACCAACAATAAAAAAAGTCAACGATTTTATAAAAAAAAATGTATTATCATAGTTTTGATTACGATATAAACTCTAGTAATTATATTTTATAAATTTGCGTTCTTATTCAAGTACCCATTCTGTTTTTATCTATATTTTGAAGACTTTCCACATGATTAACATGCTGCTCGTGCATGCTTGAACGTCTTCCGTTAATAGCTTATAGTTTTTTGTTTGTTTGTAGTACAAGTTAAATGCATAAAGCCATTAGTCATCAATATCGTTACTTGCTATACATATTGTATTTGTTTAAAATGTATATTATTTATCATAATTAACTGCTCGACCGTTTTGATGTATTCAAAATATTTAATAAAAAAAAAAATATTATTTTAAAAATCTTTTTATTCAAATTTCTTTCAGAAAATGCTAGAAGCAAATAGATTGATCAATTAATTTCTTCTCCTTAATCTTCTTAATTAAATTATATTAACTGATGATTTATATTTATTTATGTTTTTCTGAGAAAAACGCGGTTTAAGTTTAATAAAAGTCTGTTGGATGGCGCGGCGTACCTTTTGCACAAGCAGTATTAGGTACAAGTACATAACTACTTCGAATTTGAAATTATAACCTAATGAGTGTAACTTCAATAGATCTATTATCATGAAAAATAAAATGTCCGCAGTTTAGACTTTGTAATCCAAGTTTTCCCTTAATATAATCCAATACTTATAATATTAGGCATAAGTTAGTTATTCAAAATAAATAATATTATTTAACGGATTTTAAATAAAAAAATATTATTTCATTGTATTAAAAATTAAGAATAAGCCGTTAGAAATGTTTAATTTCAAACTATTATACTAAAAGATTTTTGTATTCGAGTTATCGGACATGGTAAATTCGATTAGATTGCAAGTACTAATTTGGAAGGTGCGGCAATCCTAGCAAATCTCTTGCTAGGGTACCTAAAAACAGTTGTTCAGGTTTTTTTCAAGTTTCCTATATTGGAGACAATATGTAAGATCTCCGGGTGATATCTTTAAACGAGATATTGAATTGCGAACTGGGCTCATTGTTTTCTACCAATGCCCATAAGCTCCTACTGCTTGAAAGCCTGCTGCTAACCGTACATGCTGGTCTCTGACTTAAACAACCATTAGCTGTGAAAAACGGTAATATCTACAAGAGTTCAGCGCTGTTTAAGTCGTCAGGTGGTTAAGCGTTCAGATTGTGTAGGTAGTATTGTATTATAGCAGCAAAACGACCGCAATACTCACCAGCAACCTTGTACCTATAATAGCGTTTCTAATTCGATCTTATAACACCAGTGCTTGCTCACGACCGCCCAACGTTAAATACTACATTTCGTAGGCGTGCGTTCAATTAAAACAGCATTAAGTCGGTCATTAAGTCAACATCTTCGTTGTTTGTTGTCATTTAAAATGAAGAACTATTATCTTTTATACGATACCATCTCAACATGCGTAAAAAGCACATACTCTACAACAATACTACGTAATGTCTTACCTGTACAGTTCATAAAGAAAAAAAAATACACATGGTGCTGCTTTCAGTTTAACGCCCACACGGGGTGATACACATTAAGGCTTTTGTAATCGATAAAATAATTGCTTTTAGTCATAGGAATTCTACTGGTGTGAACAAAGGCGCGTAGTTACCAGGGTTCGAAGTAGTGGAGGTCCAACCCATTCAAAACCATTTAAAACTCAAACTCGTACATTGAATATTAACTAAAAAAATCTAGGCCTATGTCATCCTTTCACCTATTATAGTTGAATAAATTGAAGCAGGCTAGTTTAGCTGGGGACAGATTTTCTATTTTTCTCTTATTTTGGATTCAAAAGTTTGTTTTTTGTTAAATGTATTAACTTGTTTCGTTTTATTTAAATGGATAAAACTGGAAACATTAATAAAATATAGGCAATTGTTTTTACCACGTTATGTGAAAAAAAAAACAAAATCTCCAACGTATACCATCATAGAGAAAACAACCACATTCTCGGGTTTATGTAAATAAACACATAAAATTCCACGTGTGGATAAGCAATATGGGTAGGCCCTAATACGATTATTATTTTTATTTTCGCACACGACACACGGTTACACAAAAGAGAACTGACGCCATATATGAACTGATCAGGATTTGGCGCCAAATAAGGTGGGGTGGCATAACTTTAAACAGTACCTTTTCTTTGCTGGCACAGCTGTTCTGAATTACAGCAAAGGAGAAACCAATGCGATAAGTATCACCAGAGCTAGGAGGCTTTCGCTACAACCTTCAAATCTCGTTGACAAAAAAAAAACCTCACAACAAATCACATTATGATTTTATACTCATCGATTTGTCGTGGTCGTGTGCAGAGAATAACGCACAGACCCGTTACACGACATCTGATATTATTTCCCACCGCGTAAAACGGAATACCGAATTTGGCTGTTGTTTTTTGTCTTCTTCAAAATTGCCGTGAAAGGTCGTCGGTGTTGTCAAAATTCACAATTAAACATTCTAAGAAAACTAACCTAAATGGGAAACCGGAGATCCGCAACTGCCACCGTCTACCAATAAGCAAAAACCGGATTTTTATTATAATAACATTATGTCAACAAAAACCAATCTAGCTAAGTTTTTCAAAATGTTGTTTGTGTCAAATTAGAAACACGTTAAACATTGAAAGGTTTTGTGTGGAAACGAAGGACAATTTTTTTTAATCGGAATATTAAGTTTACCTATACATTTATACAAATGTTAACATACATTTAAATTTATATAAAGATAGTCACAAAAAAGTAAATTTTTATCAAAATAGTGAACAAATAAATTGCGAAACAAATTTTTGTTTTTTCATAACAATAATACTAGAAATACAGTTTTTAGTCGTATTAATTATAAAAGGGATAAAGACAATATTTGACAATACAAACTCATCTAAACAGTATTTTAATTTGTCAACTAATTTATGGAAAAATTAAGGGCAAATGTAGGCGTATAATATATATAATTTTTAAATTTAGTTGATTTCTACCCACCGATTATAGTTATAGTCAATAATAAACCAGTTTTTCTTTTCTCATTCTATGAGCTGTCCATACTCAGAGATTTATGTGACTATGTGTCTCTATATATGCTAAATGGATTAATTTGACAAATGTAATACTCACGGCATGTTGAACCATTCCCTTGGGTTTAGATGCTGCCACGTAGGCCAAGTACTGTATTACTTTTTTCGTGTTCTCAGTCTTGCCGGCGCCCGACTCCCCCGTACATAGTATAGATTGGTCTTCTCGGTCTAAGAAAAAACCATATAAATCGTATTGAAAACCGTTCAAATATTAAAAAATAAATGTAATAGTAATGTAGATTCCAACCTTGTAACATTGACCGATAAGCCGTATCGGTGACGGCGAACACGTGGGGAGGTACTTCATGGCGTTTGTAGCCTTTATATCTCTCCATAATACTTTCCGAGTAGATGGGTAACCTCTTGTACGGGTTAACGACCACGCAAAACAGACCGGAATAAGTCTGAAATCATTAAAACCATACGCCATCAATTAATTATTATCATGTCATTGAAAACCATGGCACTTTTTATGATTTAAAACCAGAGTTCTTAAAAAACTCAAAGGGCTAAAGCCCAGTAAATGTTTAGTATTTCCCCGAAAATATATGTTTCATATGGTCTTACTGGGTATTCATAACACCCAACAAAATTTTAATGGGTCGGGACTTTTTTTTTAAAAAAAAAAACCTGGGTTTTTGCCAACTATGCTTAAAGTTAAAAGCCATACATATGAGTTTTCTACCAACTAAATATATTTTTGTTTTTTTTTTTAATTTAAATTAAGCATTTTATTTTGTTAATTTTAATATATATGCCGAGAGCAGAAATTGTTGTTTTTCGAAATTGTTTACTTAAAGTTTAACTTTTAATGAATTAAAAATATGTTTAATACAAAATATATAGTCTATACAAAAATAAGAATTAAATACAAACCAAAATACAGTATTGCAAATTAATATTTTAACCTGACACGGGTCTGTGAGCTGCCACAATTTTAGCACTCCCGAGATTTAAAGTTTAGTTGCATATTCTATGCTATGTTATTAGCCAGCTATCAAGTGGGTACCACAGTTTTTTAATAATTGTGTAATATTGCAAAATTGCTATTATTTAAAAAAATAATAATAGGTGCCACTCAATAATTGTTGGTAAAAGAAAGTTGAAAAGAGATTTTCGAATATTTGTTTTATTGTACACAATAGACATTTATGTTGTCAAATTTACATATCCCAAGTCTATAAGTATCCCTAAAACGCGAAGTCTGTATCTACCCCTTTAAAAAGAAAGGGTGGATGATATTTTCTTAGTTATTGACTGCAGATCGATTATATATCCTGGAACTATTTTTGATAATAAGTAAAGTCAATACCAATAGAGTAGATGTAAAAACTTGTCTTGTAATTCGGAATTTGTAAGTAATTCCTTTGATTTTTAAATACAATTAAGAAAGAAGCAACTTTATTATAAAAAAATCAAGCGGGCTGCCTAAAACATAGGTTGCCATATAAGACACAGCATACTAGATCAATACAATAGTACATAACACAATTTTTCTTTTAACAGTTTTCTTTAAAAGTAAATTCTAAAATCATTGTAATTCTAATACAATCTGTCCGTGTTGACGGTTAATAGGGGAGGCGGCATAGGTATCGTTACAGACCAAAACCAGTTCCATAAAAAACTACATCCGCTGTCAGTGGGAATAACCGACCGATTTGTAGTAGATATTCTATTAGTCTGAGATATGTTAGAATGTTTTATTTCCAAACGATTAAATATTATTTTGACAAATACTTGGTTTTATTTTATTTTTATGTACAAGAATGGAACGCGGACAAGCGCGAAAGCGGTTGACCAACAAAAGATTATCATAATATAATAGGATTTACTGTTTACAATAATAAATATTTTTATTTTTAAACGGACATTAACGTAACGGTTCGGTTTACTATGTAATAATAATGTATGCTTATCTTTCTCCGCAATTGAAAATAAATAAATAAATTTCCGAAGACGGCAGTTAAAAATTGAATCCATTGACAATTATTGAGGTTGAACAGTTCATTAATATTCTATACATCATGAATTTAGGGTTGGAACTTGAAGAAAGACTTGACTCCCCCCTTAAAATATTTCTTAGTGCCGACCCTGAGTGAAATAGTTGTAGGGAAGTAACCTATCAAAGTTTTTTTTTTTAGTTAGGGAAAATAGTTTATTCGGTTATATAACTAGTGATTATAACTGATAACACATTGTTTAAAATTATTTAATTTTTATTTTTAGTACTTTGGAGAAAAATGAAAAAGAAATATCATCGAAAAAAATCAACAGAAAAAGACCGCTTGTAAGACCAGGTATGATGAGGGGGTGTTGTAAGGAAAGATGTAAAAGCTTTAGAAGGATGATCAGACAAGAAGACACAAGCATTGGATAAGAAAAACTGGAGGCAATTTTGTATGACTGGATGGTCCAAGTATCCGATTATCTAAGAAGTACTTTATGTCTTGTAGTAAAAATTATAATAAATATAAATATAAATAATTTTATACTTAAGCTAGCGGATTTTTAATTTGTTTTATATATTTATGACTTAAATTATTACTCTTTCATTATTATTTAACATTGATGAACATGTAATCGAGTAGTAATAATTGATAATTTTAAATGCTTTTGAAGTATCAAATAAAGTTCGGTGAAGATTTTTTTTAAATTTTTCTTTCTTTTTGCTACTTTAGTTTTTCCTCGATCGATAACCGTCATCCTTCTCTTTTGCCATTTGCTAAATCTCTAAATCAACGCCTGCGATTTTTCACATTCCTACGCGTTCGAGTACGACGAGAATTTCACTACGATTATGCTATTATTACTAGGCATACAATGTTGGCTTATCAAAGTTCAAAACGACCACGAGTAAAAAAACAAACAGAAATCCGTATAAGTGCACACATTAAGAATATAGTGATGTCATAGATTGTTGGAACGGTTTTCCGGTGAATTTATTATTATTGTTAATATTTTTTTTCACGCGATTAACGTTAACACAGAAAAAGCACGTCCAACTGATAGCACAAACGCGCCTGTCTACCGTTGTTGGATTTCGACATATTGAACTAAACAATTTGTTATTGTTTCGCTCTCGTTGTAAACATATATTTTTCAAATATATACGTAAATGGGTAAATTAAAAATTGGGTCTCAATTAAACGCTCAGAAAAAAAAAAGAGGTAAAATTGCATAGAAATGTCAGTAAGCAATTGTCATTGAAATATATAGAAAAAATTGAACGTTTTTTCCTTATTTAGTGTGAAATTTGGTATTTTGGAGTTACGCCCATTCCTAAAAAGGCTGACGATGTATACTTTTAAGAATGATTTTTTTTAAACAAACAATTCCTACAAATCCGACCTCGAAGTAGCTGTAGAACCATAACCCTTAATAAAAGATAACTTTATAACCCGTTTTCTACTCCCAGGTATTATGTTTTTGTTAGCCGTTGAAAAATAGCTTGTTTCATGTATTTCTGGGCGTTTATTATTATTTTTCTTTAATGTAAATTTGAGTTAGACCTAAGGTTCACACACCTCGGCCAGCGTATATTAATGCGCATTGTTCCACAATATTCAAGGTATTATGGAGGAAAACTCCCATAGCTAAACGAACAATAAATCGGTTTAGGTGCCACACCGTAATCTCTGTAAACCGCTACACAAGGAGCGCAGTCCAGACGAGATTATGTCACACCGACCGACCCTTGATGACCCATCTACATTCCTAAGTGCTTAACGAGTAAACTTACTTACGACCGTTTGTATACCAACGACATAAGGTAGGTTACGAAAAAAAAACGACGATCGTACTACAGTTTCAAAATCGTTTTCAGCTGAGCAATCAAAACCTTTAATGACTGAAGCATTTTATTCAGCTTATTCAAAATGCAGATAAAATGGAGATCAACAATAAAAGACAACTTTTGAGTTTTACATTTGTTGTTGCTACTTTTGACAATTTAACAGGGTGCGGCAGAGTGGACTAACGAGTTTTTTGGGGTTATAAATAACGAGCAGTAAAACTTGGAAAATAGCGGTTTGTTTTATTAAAATTAGTAGGAAATCCCATTTTTTAAATGATTTCTCCAATATGGCGACCGTCAGCAGCAATATATTGCTGTAGACAATCTCTTAAGTTTACCCATCATCTTCGGCACGTTTCGATGGGTATGGCATAGGTTGGAGACTTATAGGTTTATATGACTTGGTGGATGTATGGACTAAGGTTTTCACAAGACTCGAAATTATCTTACTGTTTTGCTTGGGCGAAAAAGTTCCCTGGGCGGTTGGTCACTCAGAGGGGTGACGTTCCTCCACTGATTTGAGCATGTGCGCTTTTTTCTCTGGGCCTTCCTTAAAGATAAGGTTTTAAAATATCACCACCATACCTTAAAAAACCTGAAGGAGAGGAGAATCACTTAAGAAATCTCGGCCTTACCCATCGAAATGTGCCGAAGATATCATGGTGTAAACTTCACCTAAATTAATTTTTTTATTTTTGCATATGGCGTATTATTAGAGCTTACTCCAGTCGCCGGGTGGGGCGCATGACATTTTTGCCATGCTTAGTAGGGGGATAACAGTCTTTTCTCCTAGACAGGTGGTCCTACCCAGTAAGAGAGACCGCCCATGGCCGGATTAAAACCAGCGACAGTGCACGTCGGCATGGTTAAATTATTTAAAATACCACCATATTTGGCTGTAGATATTAGGGCATATTGGTCTAAAAAAAATGTACACCCTGTTAAGGAGGAAGGTACAGTTGCTACAAACATGTTTTTATTGCGGATTAGAAATCTACCACTAAAAAAAATTAACTAAGTCCAACTGTTGCAGCTGAGTTATATGTCCAAGTGCAAAGTCTGCCAGAAGCTGCCAAAAAGCATAGTGTTGTCATTTAATGGGTTATAATAGTAATTCTGTAATAAAACCAAATAGAAGTTCTATTAAACAATTTTTAAAAAAGGATCCAAGATTAGACAATCTCCTCCCAAATCTAAGCTTTTTAAACCCAAAACAACTACAACTACTTTGTCAAATAAAAAAATTAAATGACTCATTTAAGATTAAAAGACAAACATTTTCAAAAGTATTTCCGAACAAAGAAGACAAAATAATTTTTCCTAATCTAGCCACATGCAATCTATCCAGTAGATTGTTGTTTTACGCCTAGTGTGGTAAAACTTATTAAATGATGCACTAGTACTTTATCTACCATTATCCTCATCAGCATCAACTTAATAATGATAATATGTTCCTATAACACGGGTGGCCCAGAAAATTACCTAATCTATGAAGGAAACTATTATGACTCTTGGGAGATGTAAACCTGTAGTTCTATTATTCAATTCAAACATTCATTAAATTAAGCCATTAAGTAATGATTTGAACGTTCCAACCAACCGATCTGTCACAGTTTAAATTCTGTGTGTCCATATTAATAAATAACATCTGGAGATTCGTTATCACGCTAATTCCGAGACTTTTATTTAGCGAAATGGTTTTGACTGCTAGTTCTAAGTTTTGGTGATACCTAAACTTCCATCATTAAGTTATAACTTTACGTCCTAAAGGATGATCTGGCTAACTTCCAAATATATCGTTTTTCTAGTGGAACCTTAACAAAGAAAATATGGCTGGGAACCCATAATGTTAATGATTTTTTTGCTATAAACTGATTTATAAATGTGTACATAAAAATTTTCTTTACAATTTTGAAAATATTTTCTTGATTTAAGAGTGTTCCATTTATTGCCTGGATACAGAAAATTAAATTAAATAAACCAAATACTTCAACATTACAAAATTATGTATAAAAATACACTTCATACAATAAAGAATATGTATAGTAAGTTCTAAATGTCATTTTACCTATAAATATTTTTAAAAATTTAACTTAAAAAAGCTACTGTACTTAGAACTTTTTCCAGAACATTTTGGATCAAAAATCAGTTATTTTTTTTTTTATAAACTTATTATGTTAACACACTGCGGAGACTAAGGAATTAAAAATATGGGTTATAAAATATATAAAAACAACATTTTTTGTAACAATTATGCTAAAAAAAAAATTTATCAACTTTAAATATTTCTTATAGAAGAATTAAGTATATATAAATTAACTGAATGAACTTTTATAGAATGTAGTTTAATTTAGTACAATTATAGGTAAGATAAATATTTTTCACAAAAACAATACCTAATAAAATTTAATTAGAATGCAAATTCGTACTTTTAAAACATATTATTACTATAACATTTAACAATAACGCTAGGCCAATTATTACAAAATTATTCTAGCCTTGTTAAAAATGTTAATTGTTTTGTAAATATTATCGAGACTGATAATTACCATTAAAATACTATTGTTTGTATTCAAAAAGCACCTAATTGTTAATAATGAAAATATTGTATTTAAATAGTATACGAGTTGTTGAAATGACTTCTTCGAATAGACTTTGGAGGCCAAGCCTCTGTTTGAGCTAGAGAAGCCAACTTTTCCAGAAGCTTAGTCAGAAGGCTTAGTCAAACGGAATAAAATAGATTAGCTGGGTACTAGGTTAAGATTACCTAAGCGATCAATTATGAATCAGCCCCAGTATAGTATAATGTGTTTTACAGACTGATGTTTATGACAAATACTTATTGAAGTTAAAAATATTTTTTTTAAATTTATTCATTCAATAATGCTGAGCATAATATAATGAATGTGTAAATCCAACTGTTGATTTATGAATTTTACGTAAAATAGGTATGGTTTGAAATACTACATAAAATATCACACGCAACTGAAGTGGGAATATTTCAATATTATTACGATAGTATAGTATTATCTGACGAATAAATACAATTTTGCGATATTACTGAATGTTATATTTTTAAGTATTGAAACTTTGTAGCTACTTTATTTTTTTACAAATATTTGAAAACCAATAAAGCATCATTTAAAAAAAATATTGTTCATTACTAAATACATATTGAATATAACAGAATAAAACTTGTAATACAACTGAGGGGTTGTGTAAATGATAATCCCTTCTCCATGGTATATTTATATTTTAGTTGGAACGCTAAACTACAATTCCCCTTACTTTTATTATTACAATTAAGGCACTGGGTAAAACATGACAGAAATACAATCAGATACGTAATGTTATAATATAGTAGAGGCGAGTTTTCAAAAAAGTAATCTTCTTATCAAAATAGCAGTCGATAAAAAGATTTTACTCACGTAAATCAGACCAGAGTAGTATCGGTCTTTGATGTTGTGTAGAACACAGGCTTCGTTGAGACAAGTCAGCTCAGCCATGTCTTCGCTCTTGTCGAACTTAGGGGGGTTCATTTTTTGGATGACGTCTTTTTCAACCATTTGCCTTTTACCCGTCTCGGTGATCTCCACCTGGACTTCATCGCCTTGCTCGCCCTTGATTCCGGCCGCCACGAAACCCTGTGTCTCGTGGGGCACCCACACCAGACGTTTCTGTGTCCATTCGGCCTGCGTGGGCTGATCGTTGAGCTTGTTGCGATCCACAGCCAGATACTTGATGAACGGATCTGACCTGTCTAGATCCATGTCCATGGTTTACCGGTTAGAGTCGTTATCCACGACGGTGTCGTTACAGACAACAGTTGTTATTATAATTATTATTGTTATGATTGACGGGCGCACGTCGCGTACACGGCGGCGAAACCTGATCAACCCGCAAACGCATAGAAAAGTAAACTAACGCTGATCGCACTTTTGGGCGGTTGGCACTGGACTGTAAACTAACATGGAACGCGCATGGCGTGGTGTGCAATTCGCCTACCAGTAAATTGGCCCCACGGACGGACCTGTTAACAACAACACAAAGATGGAGAAGGAGAAGGCGCGATCGCTATCGCGATAGATAAACAATTCGTTATATATAGGTAGTATTGTATAATTATTGTTCGTGGGCAGTATATTGTTCATTTATCTCAATGGCACTCACCCCATAGATAATAAATTAATTCTTAATTCTTCACAAACTATAATGGTTTGATATTAAAATCGTTTTTATTCAATGCACAAGAACTACATAGGGTCGTTTTATTCCTCCATGATGGTTTTACCGACTCGCGGCTTCCTCACTCATCCGCGATGTTATTGATAATACGTCACGGTCCGCGGGTCATAGAATACTTTGTCCAAAACCCCAATAGGTCTACATGGTTCATGATAACAATATTGTAGATAAGCACAAGTTTATCCCCAACTTGTGATAACAATTTTGAGTGCCGGCCGCGGCCGGTCATGCTTTGATTTCATAATTAACTTTAAAGAAAGTATAAATGTAATCACTAATCGTTGTAAACAAATCACTTCAAGACGTTCAAATTTTAAAATATGATTGTTTTTTACTTTTGTAAAATGTATACGATCAACAACAAATGCTTTTTGTCGAATGAGCAACTGAGCCATTTAAACATTTATTAAACCTTTTTAGTTATTTGTTGGAGAAAAGGAGGAAGTGATTAATTTAGGACTTAGGTATTGTTAAATATTAAATGTTTTGCTTAAAAACGTTGTGTGACATAAAAATCGAGTTACTAAACACTTAATACTATATATTAAAATAAATACAAACAAATTATTTTAACACAATTTATTTACAACAAATACAATATTACAAATTTATGTTAATGATAGTTTAAATAATAGAAGAGAGAACAACACAATGTTAAAATTTTACAGTAAATACAAATTATCAACATAGTAGGTTTACCTTTACAGGTTACATAAGTTATAATGGTTTACATAATTATAGAAATTTGTATGGTTATAAAGGTTTTTGGTAATTTAAGAGAAGATTCACAATAGTTTAAATAAATAAAAGGTACTAGAAGAGAAGACAACACAATATTACAATAAATACAACATAGAGGGTTATACAGGTTATATATAGAGAGTTTTACATGATATTAAAGATTCGTATGGTTATTAAGGTCTTCACAAATTTGTGCGTTATTATAGTAAAGCGTTTTTTGGTCGGACAAACTCTTCGATACATGAGGTGGCCTTGTAATCGAGTGGCGTCAGTGGTATCTTCTCCCATAAGGTGTGCTCTTTGTAAACGTTACGGTAAACTGGTTTCGCCAATACTTGTATGCGAGGCGTCGCCTTGTATACCTTTGCTAAGGTCACTGGCTTGACGTACTTGGATCTCAGTTTGGCAGGCGGTGAAGGCGCAATACGTCTTGCGGGGTTGTCTGGACGAAACACTTCAGCAAAAGGCTGATATATGATCGGTTTAGTTGAACTTTCAATTCTGCTCGAGTTATTCGTGGATGCCGCTCTGGCTGCAATGAACACTTTATACGCAAATTCTGACAACCTCAAAGTTTTCCCTTCGTTATCTTTGGCTACTGCAAGTGCTAAATCCATAAACTGCAAGTATGGCGGCAACCGATTCGTTGCCATCAATGACTTTGGCTTCTTAGAAATTTGGGAGCTTTCTTTTTGGGTAACCGCAAGATTTTGGAACAACGTTAATTCTTCATTACTGCAAAATATTTACATGTTATCATATTGTATTACATTTTGTCAGAAATTGATTGGATCTATTAATTAATTATTAAACACACATATATCATATCGACATGTTATGTATCCAAATTTTCAAACTGATATGTTAAAAACAGAATAAGAATTTAAATTTGAATGTTTGTTTGGTTCATCCTGAAAAGTTGCAAAAAACGAGATACGACCCTTTTTGTTGGGGCAGTCGATATGAGAATAGCTGTAAATATGTATTATATTGTTTGAGTTATCAGTTATTATTATTTATTTCTAGTTAGGTAAAACCGTATGACAGGAGAAATTGATTCCGAACAATCAAACATAGAATTTCAAAATTATATGCTATCCCCTTCTATTTATCTATGTGAATAGACAACCAAAGAAAAACACTGAATGTTGTCACTGTATGTTTCCTGATAGCTTTTCCACAACATGGTATTTATATTTGTTTGGTGTTTATTTAGTTCTTACCTCAAATGCTTTCCACTACTCGGTTTTACATGATGCGCTTTATCATGCACATTGTCTTGCGAGTGACAGAACCAAATCTCTACCGGTTTTTTCTTTGACACTTTACAATGGATCCTTGTTGGGCCTAATTAAGTCATAAAAAACAACGAAAACATAATATATTACCAATACGTTGTTTTATAAAAACTAAAACGCTTGACGAAAATGACTTACGCGTAACAATTTTTTCTGGTATGATCTTACGGATCGGAGGTCTCTGTTTTCGCGCTAGCGGTTTCGCTAATTCATAGATCCTCTTAGATACTTCTTCAGGATCAGGCTTTTTATCTATTAACATTGAAGACCTCGACCACAATGAACTGTCGTCGCTCGCCCAATATCTTGTTTGTGTTTGCTTGGACGTCATCATTTGGAAAAATGTAATTTTAAAAATAAAATGTACTTGACGTAATAAATTATATAACTTTAAATATTATAATGACACAAACTGGTCCATTTAATTTCAGTCGATATCTACATAAACTATTAAATAGTTGCTAGTAAATATTGGCCAGTATCTACTTGTGTTATAGCTTCAGTGTAATATTGTTATTGCTTTGATTTGAGTTAATTTGTCATTTGTGTTCTAGTTTTGCTTTTTAAACTCGTTGAGGTTTAAAAAAGATATAATATTTTAACAACTACTTTTCTTTTTTTTTTGTCTACGCCTACGAAAACTTTTTACTCTCATTTTAACAAACCTCATTATCTTTAGTCAAAAACTTTTACTCTTTTAGTTATTTTATTACAAATATTTAATAACAATTTACGTCATAAGTCTTAAAGACTGACAAAATATTTCTTGAGAACTCGAAAATGTTCTGTAGGGTCTTAAGTAGGAATTTGTTTTTTATTATAATGAGGCTTCAGCCTCATAAGTTATTAGCCAGCACATGTTTAAAAATATTTACTAATAGTGATTTAAAACTAAGAGTTTACAATGTAAAGTAACGTAGTTACGTTTTATGTGACAAGTTTATAACTTGAAAGAATTTGAAGACAGAAGATGTGTGTTGAGTTTTCTTGGTTTGGTGCCTGTTCCAGAGTGGTTGATTTTTTGGTATGAAGCGAGCGTGATTGAATTTATTGCAGTCAATCAGGAATGTGATTTATGTTAGATTAACTCTGAATAATATATAGCATTTAGTTTTGGGTTCCTTGGTAATGAGGTGTAAGTGGGTTAGATTGGTGTGCCCTATTCTTGTATGTGTGATTATTATTTCCTCTTTTCTCTTTTGTTTGACAGCTCTGAGTTTGTTTGTAAGGGGGTGTTGGTCCAATCTTTCTGTCACAATTATATTATTTTGTTTTTAATAGACCTGGTTGCTTCTGTTGATGTAGTAAGATTATTGTTGACACGGTCTGCAAGTGCATGTTTCCGTTATTAGCGATTAAATGTGCGCCCGGTCGTGTTATCAACTGTCCACCGTCTCACCGCAGGTGGGAACGACAAACTACTATATCGGCCCGAGCCGGCCGTCGGTGTATGAAGAGGTCCGGGGGGTGTCATCTTTACAGCGAAACACGGCGGCGATGACCACTGTAGGCAATCCGATAATCAGTTATTAATTTAACATTGGTCCGGTTTGCCATCCGCCGCCGTCCTGCGTATTCACGTTTTACCACGTTTCTTTTCTAAGTTAAAAAAAAAATAAAAAAAACCTTAACTCTTTACAATCGATTTTTTTTCGTTTCTATTTACTTCTACCCCCCATTTCTATCGCGTCATTGTCAAGTGCTGGGATGTAGTAGCTTTGTTATCTACTTGGTCTGCCTTTTCGGTCCCTAGTATCCCAACATGCAAGGTAGCCCACTTAAAGGAAGTTTGTTTATTGGAAGTTGTTGCAGTAGTTTATTTCAAAGCATTAATTTGTTTACGGTTAAAGATGAGCTAATTTTGACTACTTTGTAAATAGCGTTGGGCTCTTTATTTATCGTAAGTTAATATAATTTTACATACTAATATGTTTGACACTCTTTCATTTAACAATTTTTGTCATAAAATTTCTAAAATAAAAACATTTGTTTTTGATGGGGTGACGATGTCTATAATGTGTACCAGGTAGAACAGAAAAGGAAAATAGATAGAGACAAAATTAAATCTAGAAAAGGTTGAGACTACAATTTTAGGTAGATTTTTTACTATATTATGTATGAATATTGTAAAAACTCAATGTACAATGTCTATTTTTTTACTTTGGAAAAAAATATTTCCTACACTACAAAATGTATTACTTTTAATTTTTTAAATATATTAGCTGCCAAAAAAAAAATCAATACCAATTTTTTATCTCAAGTTATATAAAACTGATATTCCTAATTTAAATTTATTTTACATGGATATCTTCGAATACTGATGAATACAAATATATCAAACACAGTACGTTCGCACTAGTGTGGTTAAAAAAAAAACGAATTTTCAAATATGTAAATGAGAAAATACATTCTTTATTTATTCACAAATTAATTGTCATAATGAGAAACAATGCATTTAAAATAGTTAACTATTTTGTTATTATTATTATATTTCTATGAGATCTTATTCTATACATATGATACATTTTACATGGTTTTGACTAACATTAAAAATAATAATTGTATTGTAATCATGATTTGTAAAAAAAACATTTTTGCTTTATCACTCAATATTTAAAGAAATAAAACTTAAAAAATAAATATTATTATTTTATATAACTGGTCTTGGAAGTGTTTGAATAAAAAATGTGTTTATTAATGCTTATACTGCAAAAAGGAAAATATTGTAAAACGATAATCTCGTTAAATGTGTAGTCAAGTATCACTTTTCCATAATTTTATCGTTTTGTCATTTTCTAATGCAGCTGATGCTATGATATTAGCTGTGGGGTGACACGATGTACATAAAACCACATCTGTAAAAAATATAAACAAAGTGGGTAATACACAAAAAACTAAAAATATGTTTTAAAAAATTACCAGTGTGCCCTTGGAGTTTCTGTACAATTTCTTTTGATTGTAGATTCCATATGTATACCATATTGTCCTCGGATCCCGATACAATCCACTTTAATCATTACAAATCAATTAGATCTATTGTAAAAATTAACTAAAACATTTTGTTAAGCTCATATGGTATTTCTTGTGATATGAAAAACATTTTGAAAATCACGTTCAATATTAAAAAATTTCAAAATTAACTGTAAACTAGATTGTTTGGTTTGATAAGCAATCTCAGAAAAAGTAACCAGAGATAATATTATGTTTATTATTATTTATTAATTATCTCATCACAAACAAATTTTAAATAAAAATACGATACTTTTTTTTTTTAATTTGAAAAATCGATACATTAAAACTCACCTTTCCTCCGGTTACTGAAAAGTTGGCAAATATACAATATTTTTCATTTTTGTGGCCAACATAAGTTTTTAAACATTTGCCTTTAGTGTAATCCCACAATTTTAAAGTATTATCTAAAGTGGCTGCTAAAATATATTTGCCATTCGGTGAAAATTTCACAAATGACACAGGAGGATTGTCATCATCAATTAATGTCTTTAGACATTGGCCACTGGCAGTATCCCAAATACGGCTAGATAAAAAAAAAAACTTTTATTAATAAAACACACATCGTGGAAGATATAAAAATGTTTTACCATAGACCATCATAGCTACTGGAAACAACTAAGGAACCATCTCTGTTAAAATGAATTGCGCTAACAGGATCTGAATGTGCAGGTAATGTTCTAAGGCATTTACCACTTTTGACTTCCCAAATTCGAACACTTTCATCAAACTTAAATAATGATAAGAATTTAAATTGATATTAATCTACCTAAATATATTAAATAAAAATCTGTCAACCCAGATGTAATAGAATATTTTATATCTTCATAGTGTTTTTACACAACTCAATCCTAAAGATTTTTTTGTTTATAATTATTTGAAAATAATTAGATATTTATACCACAGTTTTAATTAGTACATTCAATTTTTTTTATTTTAAACTTATTTTTTTTTATTGAATGAAATAAATCGTTTCATATAAAATATAAGTATACTTGACTTTATTGTTTAAACTGTTATTTAAATTAATTTATTATTTGAACTATTACTTTCATTTTTAAAAATGTAATTAGAGTTTAAATTTAAAACATATTTTAAAAACCATTTGAATTTTTACTTAGATAATGTCCATGTTTGCCTCAAATGAACAAATTCTGGAAAAATGTACAATATTTTGAGGAAAATTCTTACTAAAAAAAAAATATTAAACATTTTCAAAAACAAATAAAACAATAAACCGGAACCATTGTTAACAAAATAAAAGGTTTACAAAATTTCAATTTTTTCAACTTACATATCCCAGTAATTCAAGAGCTTACAGAGTGTGTCTAAGAACTATGATTTAAGGAAGTAAAAAGGTATAATAAGATGTTTCTTTAATGCATTTTTATAGTGATTAATTAAAAATAATATTAACTAAAATAAGATATGATACTTAAACTACTAAAGCTCACGTATTTAAACGCGTAGTCAGCCTGTTGTAATTTTCGTTATTCACTAGTTGATTAACACAATAGGTGAAAGAAAAAAAAATGTTCACAGAAAAAAGTTTAACACCACGGCACGACTACCAGTAGAATTTTCAAAAGCGCAATTACTTAGACGCTAATGGTTTTAACTCACTATATTAAAATATTAACAATACATCAAATTTATTTTAAAAAGTATGCATATCTAGTTGTACGTAAAATAAGAACACACTCGAAAGCTTTAATAAAACTGTGATTTTCAAACAAAAAACAAGATATTTGTTTTTTTGGAAAGAGGAATAGGCAAGTATAAAAGGAAAGTTGTGTAATTTATAAGTTATTTATTTGTTGGTAATATTATTAATATTTTTGTAGAAAACAAATTTTATTTGTCAACAACTCATGTGTAACTAACACAATTTGTTTTAATGAAAGTCAAAGTTTTATCGAGTAATATTAAGGTATATTTATTTACCCAGGTTGACGGTACTGATCTAAAAAATTATATAAATATATATATACAGTTTAACTTACAGATCCTGAAGCAATAAGATTTGATTGTGGATTAAAATTACAACAAAATACATAGTTGCTGTGGCCTTTAAGTGTCTTGATACATTTTCCCTTTAAAAAAAAATCAAAGATGAAAAATATGATAGTTTTTAGCCAAGAGTATTATTTTGTACGCATTAATAATTGTATACCCAACCGTAAATTCTGAAAGAATATAATTGTAAGATTGTTACAACTAAAAAATTATGGGCATTATACTTTATAGTATTGAAAATGTTAAAAAAAAAAAATCTTAATTATAACTATCACAAGATGGGCCTAAATCAATTTTTTTTAAAATTTTAAAACAAAATATTTATTTTGCTACCCATGAGAGAATGACCATGCGCAGACTAAAACATATTTAGTTTTAGTTTCAGAAACTATAACTAAATGCGTTTTAGTCTTTCTTTTTTAAATGTTAAATTTAAAAAAAAACTTAATTTAAAATTTGGTTTAAACACAAAAATTAGGATTTGTTATATCACAATATACGATTTACAACTGATAAGATTTTATTTTCTTATTTAAACAGGCCATAGTAATTTTATTTTTTAATCTGTTAAATTTTTACTTATCATACCGAACTTAATTCCCACACTTTTAGTGTTTTGTCATCTGAAGCTGATACCAATAGTCGACTATCTGAGGACCAACTAACATCACTAATTCCTAATTTGTGACCAGATATGGTTTTTTCAAATTTTCCATCATAGGCTCCCCAAATCTTAATCAATTTATCAGCAGCTATAAAAAAATATAAACAAAAATACACCAATTCACAAGATAACATTAAAAAAATACCAATAAAATATTGTTTCCTCAAATTGTTGTTGAATATGTCAAAAATAAGTATAATATGCACTTCATCGCCATAATTTTTAAAACAAAACATATTCAATTAAAAAAAAAATTTTAATATTTAAATTATTAAAAATATTATAAAGAAAAAAACTTAAATTTAACAGTTACAACTGACTAATTCTAACTATTCAATCTCTGCCTTAGTACAAAAACAAAAATAAATTAAATATTTTAAATTTTAGTGTTAAGATTTCAGTCTCTTTACATATTACTTTGTACAACAGGACTTACATGAACTAGCAAGCCATTCTCCATTTGGGCTAAACTTTACTGAAGAAACAGCTTTTGTATGGCCAGCCAATGTAAATTTCAGTGCATAATTTGGTTTCTGAAAAGAAGAACAATTCCAATAATAATAAGGATTAATATGCAATAGACGATTTACTACATTATAATAATTTTGTTAAAAATATTTAACAAAATAACTTGTTTCAGTTTTTAAATTCAATGCGTCTTAACTGTTAACTTATCTTACACAGTTTTATATCTTAGGCACCGTGTGAATGGGGGAAATGGGGCAACTGTCCTCCACAAATACATTCATGAAAGGCGGCTTCTGCCATGAAAATAGGTATAAATATGTATACAAGTATTGGTAATATTACAATTTTTTCTGTGGATGTAATGACAAACACACTTGCAGTTAGTAAAGACTGAATGTCATACAATATGCTGTAAATCTAGCCTGACTCATACTAACATAATAAGTGGACTTATTGTTCGTAGCTCATATTGTATGTTTATAATTTGTTACAATCTTAAATATAAATTAAATGTTTTACTAATAATTTAAGTTAACACTTTAAGTCTATGACTTAAGGAGGGAGGGATTTGTTAATTTCCTGAGTCTGATTATCAATTTACATTCAATCCCGTTCGCCCTATATTTTTTTAAAACCGGCGCCTATGTTTATTATAATAAATAAAAGTAATCATAGTCAAAGCTAAGCAGTTTGATGAATACTTTTACAAATTAATTGTATTATTGATGAGGCGGTTTACACACACAGTATGTAAATGTAAAAATTGGTTCAATAACACAATGCAAAATAATATCATGTGAACAAAAATATTGTTCGAAAATGTTTCTCATAGACAGTACACATTCAACAATCAACTTACCACGACCGGTTTAGTTTCTGCACGTATGTCTTGAAACTTCAAATCCATTTTTTAAGTAAGCAGGTATGTTTTAAACTAAAAATATAATAGCTGGATCTAATCCACTAAGTCTAAACATAAAACTCTCAACATTCAAACTTCAAAGCAAATGGCCGCGGTTTAGTACCTAGTCATTAGTCAATGGGAGAAGGAAAGTGTAAACAAACAACGATCCGAATGCCGAACCAAATTACTGATAGACGGTCAATTCAGTGATAACGAGTGAACGCATACTCGAGTGGGGGAAAGCGTGTTTTGGAGCTGCTATAGCTGCATCGACAATGTCGAATTACCACCACTACAATTTATATCATTATCTATACAATCAACTGCCTAGACTGTTCATAGCATTTAGCGTTACTGTTAAAAAATGATTAGGTATAAATATTTTTACAAAATGAAAATGTGTTTTTTTCAAACGGATAATTTCTGACGCCGTGTTAATAATTATTATAACGCAACAGTTTCGTTAAAAGCTATGCAAGATGGCGCACGCAGTTTGTTTTCTTAAAATTAAGCAAACAACGAGAGCAAAATGTGATTGCATCGTTGTAATTTAAAACACTAAAATTACTGGTTATCGTAGGACGTAATGTTGTAATGCTCAGTAGAGTGATTTTACAATTAGATTTAACAGTGAAACTCTTATGTCCGTCGATAGAGACTATAATAATGATAATATGAAATTTTTCTAAACATTTTGCTGCTTACAATCACAATTTTTAAAGAAACATTTTTAGGTTAGGTTTAATTTTAATGTCATCAATTGTTTTTAAAAGTATAACTTAACATGCACAACAATGTAATTATGTATATAGATTACAGTTTGCTATTTGAATTTTAATAGTCCCCCTTCTAAATCTTGAGACCGAAAAGAAAAAAAATTAATTTAATTGGAAAAGGGCTCTTGACAATAGAAAAATTCTAAAAAAAATAATAAATTGTTTGAAACACTTAAATTTCTTAGAATGTTAAGCCGCGTATACACATGCGAGCCCATCCCAATTCGGCCTGGTTTACGTTAGGTTCGTGTCAAAAAACCCGTCGGTAGACGGATTCTCGCGAACGGTTCGTCTCGCTGGTTCGGCAGGTGTATTATATATATTGTATACACGCGGCTTAAGAAGATGTTAGAAGATAAAAATTAGAGCTCAATGCTGAAATTCCAATTCTACTTTTGATATTTTATGATTTTATTTTTAAATTGATTTAAGTTTTTTTTTTTGACCACTTATTAAAAAATTGTATTTTACACTTTTTTTTAAACTAACGAAAAAACGTAAAAATACCGTCGAAAAAGTAGAGGTTTTTACTCGAGTGTTTTTTAAATGATTATTTCCACAGTTACTTAAGAAACAAACTTGATTGTAGAAATGGTTAAAATACTAATATAACGCTAGGGGCCGTTTTAGTTTTTATTTTTATAAAGTTGGTTGAACAATATTTAGGTAAAATTCGTTAATGTTATTGTTACAAATTTTACAAAAAAAACGCACAACTTTCGAACGGGAGTTGAATTTTCAACTATGCGCTAAACAAAACCGGTTATTTCCAATTATCTAATCTGTGGCAATAATTACTATGCAAATAATTATAAATATAATAATTAAAATATTAATAATAATAATTATATAGTCATATATAATAATAAAAATAGTTTTACAAACATCTTAGTAATTAATATTTACAATGATGTTGAATAAAAAATAAAAATAAAATGAATGAACGATTTTACAATAACTATTGCATTTTTCAACAACCTCAAACGACTTTTCTTTTTTGGAAAATATTATATTGAAATTTAAAAACTAACAAATTGTGATAATGTTATCAGTAAACAGTACAGCTGTCCGTCGATGTAAATGTATGCTCACAATCACAGTCGCAAGTAGATGATTCAGAATTAGATTCATTAATCTTGTGGGTACCACTGACGCCATTATTCATAATTTCTATTTCCTGTGCACCAGCAAACAGGCAACAGGAACCGTTACTATACCGTTGTTAATATTGTCGAGCTAATATTTTTTAAATTAAATTTATTTTGATTTATTATTTATTTTTACGAGGTTCAGTCGGCTTTCGATTGTCACTGTTTCGCGTATCGCGCATGTCCTCATTGCAACACTCATCTTAGTATTGATCGGTCGCTTCTACATAGGGCATTGTTTAATTCGCAGGCTGTTGTGTAGCTTTCGGTTTGTCCATTTAAACAATTTGTTGTGCCGTGTGCTCATCATCGTTCAACAAATACCTACGTTACCGACTTCTACAGTAAAATAAACCTCCAATATTGGTGTTCGTGACATCATTTAGTAGGTAAGACGGTAATATATTTGTTATTCCCAGCCGAATGTACTGTAGCCATTGTGGCGTAAGGGCGTTCCCAGGTTAATTATAATTTATATTGTTAGTTGGTTGTCCCACAATCTAAAATTCATTTTAATAATTATATTTCTTGTGTAGGTGTATTGCAAAAAAACCTATTAACAATCTTGTCATAGTATTTATAGAAATGTTTACTCACTAAAGGCCATTTTAGACAAAATATTTTTCTTGAGTTCTTGAACCTACCTTAACAGTTGCGAAATCAACACCGAGTACAACTATCTGGCGGTGACAGTATACTGACTATTAATAGTATTGTGTGTATTTTCCTATGTGCTTTACTCTACAAGCAATATTAATGCTTACGTGTATGTAATTTATTGCTGCGGTTTGGTTTGATATGCTACAACATACCTATGTACAATAGTTTTTTTTATTAACTTTTCCATGCCACTGGAAACCGACTATTTAGAATTTACATTTTATAGTAATTTATAATTCTTTGACAACCAATATGGACGTTACTGCTCTGCTCTATCAGATTTATGACTGACAATAAAAAATATTTAATAAAGGAATATTATATCTAAAGAAGGTTTTGTGCTAATAATGAGCTTAGTTAGAAATATGTTGTGAGTTAAGAAATAACAATGACATACATTATTATAAAAATAATTTACTCTTCATTTGAGTAAGTTTTATTTATATGCACGTCACATGTTATGTATATGCTGACGTTTCGAACTCTTTGCAGAGTCCATCTTCAGGGAAATAGTGGTCTCAACTGTTCAGTATGGTCACGGCATTTGAACAGTCGAGACCACTATTGCCCTGAAGATGGACTCTGCAAAGAGTCTGAAACGTCGGCAAATAACATGTGACGTGGATATATCCGAAACTTACTCAATTGATATATCAATCCACGAAAGTTTTAACGCATTCATAATTTACTCTTCCTCATCTCCACATAGACTATTGATGCTAAACAAATTAAAATCACTCATATAGATATTAGGTATCAATAAACCAATTAAGTATTTACTAAGCTTTCAAAACTTTTACTGACACTGTTATATAACATATTATTTCGGTGTTACACATGAAAGTCTTATATGTATATATATATATATAAAAGTATAGGCAGTTAAAATTAAAGTCTAGTAGGTAATGCTAATAAAATAGTACAATACAATAACTCAATTTTAAACAAAAAATACTTTAGTAAAACTGTAACTGACAAAGTGAGTAGCTCAGCCTATTAGTTTAGTGAAAAAAGAGAATTCATTACTTACGTTGTATCAGTTCACAAATCGCCATTAATTTTTACTTATATTTAATAGGATACCTAATGGTAGAATTCATTGAAGAAAATTTTAATATGAAAAGTATTATATAAAATAACATTAATTTTCAGGTGAATACTTGTATGTAGTTTTATAAATATGTTATCTATTTGCCAAAAAAAAAAGTTTTTCAGCCGAGTCTGCAATCACGAAAGAGCATTTTCATGTCTCGTTGAAGTACCGAATAAATTTAGATTAGGTGTGGAATTATAATTTAAAAAAAAAAATTATATGGAGCTTCCAGTTATAGCATAAGGCCAAGGAGATTAAAAAATTATGTATAATAAAGTTTCTGGCTAAAATTGTAGTGTTTATTATCTGGCCAAAAGTAACTTAACATAGAGAATTAAACTATTTTTAATTTATTAATTATTTCTAATTTGAACGTTGAACGTACAACATATCTCTTATCTATATCTCACCCCTATCCCCTACCCACTATCTTCCGTCCCTATCACTCACCCCTATCCGCTACCCCTATCTCATATCTCATATCAGATAACAGCGTAACACTTTTTTCGTTACGCTTTTTTTGTAACACTTTTTTTCGGTTATGCACCGGCTAATTCTCACCCCCAACCACATCATCAACCCCATTTCTTTTTCGTTACGCCTTTTTCATTACGCTCTTTTGGTAATGCTTTTTTCGGATATTTGCCAGGGTTATGTGCCAGAGCTAAGACATGTAAATGTCAAAAACATACTTAAATGTTACAAACTAAATCTAGTTATCTTTACTGCAGATTTATGTTAAAAATTCTGTTAGTGATTTATATTTCCACTAATTTAACTCGTCTCTTCAGCCAACTAACAAAGTGTATACTTTTTTTTAGGAAATTGTCCTCAATTATTTGCTCCACGATGAGTTTTAAATAAAATAAACATTGTGTTCCATTTTCAGGCAATTATCGTGAAAAGCAGTATCTAAGAACAAAATCAATATGGGGCAAGTAGTCTCCGTAGAGGAATTCAATAATAATGATCTGACCAATTTAATGATTTTTAAAAATCTCATCATTCAGCGAAGCAATGAAAACGTTTTTAGATGTGTCGATAGTTACAACTACATGGCCAAGTCATCATTATCTAGTGGTATTTTGAATTTGGGTATACACCATATGCAGTTAGATGCACAAACTGTGAATGCTAAAGGTTTGGAATATTTATCGATTTTACCCGGACATAAGTTCTTGAACATTGGTTGTAAAATTGGTTATTTTAATACTGTTGTTGGCTTGTTGCTAGGTAAGTTTTGGGTTTTAATCTATTTTGTAGCTACTGGAAATGTGATCGATAATTTGTAATTAGTTAATTTTTCTTCAACCTTTTTTAGGTCCGAATGGTATCAACCATGGTATTGACATGAATCAGTCGTATATTGACAAAGCTCATCAGAAACTTAATGAATTCAAAATGAACTCTACTGGAATAGATTATTATGACTTCTGCGAACCAATGTTTATTTACGGTATTTGTTAAAAAAAAACAGTGTTTTATTCAGAATAAAATAAATCTACGAGTTTTGTTCATGCATTTTTTTATTATTATTTTAAGGTAATGTTATGAATTTGTCGCCAGTGTGTCAATACGATAGAATTTATAGTCCATGTTCTTTACCGTTAATACCATATATAAGTGTAATCATATTTAAATTACTTAAGGTATTGAGAAGTTTTTTATTTATATTCTGCAATGAGTAATGCAAATTTTAAAAGTATAACTTTTTTTCTAGATCGGTGGGATTTTAGTTATGGTGTCAGATGGTCACCATATAAAGATAACAAGAGTGACTGAAAAACGATTCAAAACTGATAATTTTTTATCAATAGAAGCTGAAACTAGATTGATTAAGAAATTAAATCCGGAAGAAATAAAGTTTCGTGAGTAGACATATTTAAATAATTTATATAGTTTGTTTTTTAAAGTAATGTCATAATGTTTCATATTTTATGTAATTTCTATTAAATATTATTTCATATATGTTATACTATAATAAACATGTAATTACTGTTAAACATTTATACAAGTATATACCATATAATTTATAAATAAAAAATATAAATTAATGAACGCATAAACATTTTTGGAAAATTAAAGTAAATTATTTTTTGTAAATTAAATTTAAAAAATACCTTTAATATGGATAAAAAAAGACTTATTTGGTAACTAATTGTGTTTGAATAGTTTTTTGGTTTATCTAGAAAGTTATGTTAGGAACTACTTTATTTTTATTTAAAACAATTTTCCCAGCATTTTCCTCAGAAATTTTGAATTTTACAAAATTGTAAGTGAGGTTCAGTCCATAATAAATAATATTAAGTAAATACTGTTTATTTAAAAACTTAAATGCATAATTTTAATCATAATTTATACTTAAAACTAAAAAACATAACTATATGAAAGTTTGCCTATAATCGTTAATAAGCAATTTGCTATGAATAACATAATATACTCACCAGTTAAATAAAATATTTTGAAGTGTTGAGAATTTTGTGAGAATTTTACATTTCTTTTTGAGAAATATATTATATTATTTTAATAATTTATATGACATTATATTAAAGGACAAAAATAATTAATTATATCGTTGTTGAATACTTAAACATATTTTTATTTTGTAGCCACGGTGGAGCAATTAAACTTACAAGAGTTGTGTAGATTGAAAATTCGTTTGTCTCTGCGTGAATATTTATTGGATTCTAACCCAGATTTAAAAATCCGTTCGAAGTGCCCGATAAATTATAGTGCCCGAAAACAAAGTATTGCAGATCTGATTCCAGATATGTTAAAATTACGAGTATGTTCCTTGTTAGATGTTGGATTTAGCTTAAGAAAAAAATTTGAGGAAGAATTTAAAGACTTTCGTAGTTTACGTAGAAGTGCACGTGAACAATATCGACGCTCCAAACTTATTAGTAGCGGCTTTGACTTTACCAAATGGAACATATTTACAAAGGGGTTTGTCGATGAAACAGCAGAAGGAGAAGAATTAAAATATGGTGGCGGTCCTTTTAGTATTAAAATAGATGATCCGGATAAGGTATACAATGAAATGATGAGAAGTTATATCAAAGAGAACAACAAGTACAATTTTGTACATAAACGTCAGGAAAACGAGTTCAGTATACTTATGAAAAACAAAATAAACGGTTTGCCAATTCCCGAAAAAATTAAACGCTTCCTCAACTGCGACCTTGATCAATAATTTTTAGCACTAATGTGCTCGTTTTACTTTCTTAAGATACCTAAAGTTTGTGTGTGGTTTTTATTAATTAACAATAGAAATTTGCTTTCTTACTTAACCATTCTGGTGGTCCAAGTGCTCCCTGAGTTTTTACATTATTATCACATTAACAATACTAATTCTGTGTGTATATTTTAGGCAAAATAAATACCTTCTAACGTTAAGTTGTAGTTGGACTAATGTACACCCAATCAAATTTCTCAATTTAACTCTAGACGTGTTTAGATATTCTTATTAAATATTTGTATTTTGTGTGTAATTAATTATATACTAATTTATATATTAATTTTGTCCATGATTGGCCTTAGCTACTATGTACCTGTCAATATTATTATGAATTGTCATAAGTTTGTTTCTGCATTACTTCACTGGTATTATTGTTTTTACAAATTATTTTTTAAATACTGTATTATTGGCATTTTAGGTTTTCTTATTTAAAGTATAAGTTAAGTTAAATTGTAGTTTATAATAATTTATTATTTTATCTTCTTTATTAAATGTAACTTTTACATTTTAAGGAAACCGTTTATTGTAAAATTAATTAATATTTAGAATCATACCTAGTTTAAATCTAGTAAAAAACCACTGTTTTAATCCATAATTGTATTGCGTAAATGTATTTAAATTGTATTGTATAGTTTTTTTCCATTTAAATATAAACAAGACATTGATGAAATGAATGTGTGCAATTATACAATTATAAATTGGTTTGACAATGTTTATCTGTAGTGCTATACTGCTATGCCTAAAGAATATTCTATACTAATTTGAAACTAATTCGACGGTTTTTAAAAGTTATAGATCGCCGTAATATTAAGTTGAAATATATGTAATTACTAATTTTTGGGTGTTTTACTATGGATGTTTGGTCGAATAAAGTATCTTTCAAGAACGGTTGCTGATCTATATAATTGCTATACAAAGAAATCAAATTGATCGGATATGATAAATAAAAAAAAAATGTATTGTAAATAGCTATATTGGTTGCGACACTTAACAGTCAACAGATTAGATATTTTGGTAATTATTATCTGGTGTTCTCATTAAATTAAGCTGTTGATCAACAATAAAAAAAAAATATGACGGTGTAAATAATTGTAATAAAGTAGGTATTAGTAACGAAACAAACATATTTACACAATTTATTGTTATTATTAAATAAATATTCAATGTAATATGTATTTCTGTTGAAACGTTATGCCTTTTAATGTGAACAACCGACATTACCGCGGTTTTCTAAATATCTTTTACCTTATAATATGTTTATCGACGTTGCGAATAAAGCAACAGAACTCAGATGTGAGTTTTTTAACATCTTAAAATTATAAAACCAGGCGTGTGTTGTTTTTATTACATAACCGAAAAATAAATGTGTTGCTTGCTCCCTCCTTTTATCCATAGTAGCCTAGTTGAATCAAAAATCGCAGTTCAACTAAACACCTTCTCAGAAATTTTTTTTGCATTTCATTAACATGTAAAAACTTTATTTTCCATCTAACTTGAAAACTAATCAAATAATTTATTCATTTTTTATTTTATTATACAGTCTATACATCATAAGTAGTTGTAAGTGTATTATCTAGATTGGCTTTAAGAGTAGCCGCCCACTGAAGACACTACTATAAATTTGTTTTTTTTAATTATGAAGAGAGAGATACCTAGTCTTTATATTTTTTAATTAAAAAATATTATTGAACTCTGAAATATGATATTTTAAAATCACTCATTTGATATTTCGCTATACAATTACAAATTTGTTTTTATATGAAGTTACAACCAATTGATACAGAATATAATCTTACAACTTAATAACTTGCTAAAAAGTAGTGTTATCACGAAACCAAAAAAAAAAAAAAAGATTTTGAAGTGTCATAATGTTTGATTAATTTTTAAGACTTACGACTACTAAAAAAAGTAATGCCATCGAGTAGCATTAATCATAGTATTTATAATAAGTTATAATTTGGTAACCATTGTAGCAAAACAAGTGTCATGTAGTATTTCTTTTTTAATTTTCAGCTCTTAACTACATATAAAAATTGCACCTAAATAACAAAATACTACCCTCTATGGGGGAGAGGGTTATCGAATTTTGGATTTAAAGCGATTTTTATGTATCCACTTGATAAATGTTCAATAAAAATGTCAATCTCGATTTTAACGTTTTTCGATCACAAATTATGTCAATTTAGCATACATACTTGTAAAGATAAGTACTTGTATACTTTAATAATTACTAACTTTTTAAAGGTTATACAAAAGTTAATGATTTCAATGATAAGTTTCAAAAATCAAAAGTTAAAAAAATACTATAAATGGACGACTTTGTTAACAGATATCTATAGATAAGTATAGAAAATATTTTGCACATACCTTGTGTAAATAAAATTTAATTATTAAAAATATATATTATTTGTTATTGATTTCTTGCAAAAACTCGATTAAGAAACATGTTGGCAATTATTAAAATATTGTGACAACTTGTATGGAATGTTATAAGTTTTTGTTTTACAATAAAATTTACATTTTTAATATGATGATTTTTTAGTAGACGTTTTACATGCTTTTAAAGTGTATTGAAATATTTTAGACATTTTATAACGGCTTTTCTGGCCGAGTACATTAAAAAAATATATATATACACCAGATTACCATTCGCAGGGCAAAATATTAAATTTATTCACTCAACAATATATGACAATAAAACAGATTCATTTAAAATGGACACAGGACACAGCTATTCTACACCAAGAAACTATTTAGATGGTGTTCAATGCAAGTCGTAGCCCGTAAACCACTTACCATTATTGGGTATAACAAGTATAACTAACTTCTACAATATTAATTATATAATACTATGCTAGTAAACAGAGTTTTTATGACTTTGATTCATAAATTAAATTGTATTGAGTACAAACAGCATAAATGTTTCAAATCGATTTAACAGATACACAATAAATATGAATAATAATACAATATTAAATAATGTATACCATTAATAATCGAGGAGTCTGTTGTAGTTGAGGAATAATTTGAGCCTTTCAGGAATTGGCAAATCGATTATTTCATTTTTCATTAGAATACTCAAATTATTGATTGTATGATCATGATTAAAATCACACATAACGCACATTTCAGTGGTATTTTTGGTCTTGGATAATTTCCTTGCACGATGGTCATACTCGGATAAACGTGGAATAGAAAATAACCTATAATCGGTCTCCAATATTTTATTTAAATCTAATTTTTCTTCTTCTTTATCCGAGTTGTCTTCCTCGTCGGACGAATTTGCAACTGTGATGCTTATTTTGGGGGTTATTTGAGTGTTGCGTTGAATTGAATGAATTGATCTACAACACAATGTACCTTTGATTGGGTCATCATCCCAGTACTTCATTTTTAATTGTGGATGTTCGACTAATAGTTTTTCTCTTAACATTGAACGGATATTGGATCTGCATAACTCTTGCAAACTTATTGGTGCGACCGTAGCTGTAGAACGTATAACAAGTTAGTTATTTATTTAACAAAGAAGAATTGATGTCATGTCACAGGAAAACATAATATTAAATTTCTGGCATCGAACAGAAGTTTTCAAAATTGGGTCATGAAAATATGTTAAGTTTAAAGTGTTTAGAATAGAGCCGATCAAACAATTTTATTTTGTTGATTGGATAAATTTTACTGTCTACAATATTATTAAGCAACACGGACATATTGTTTTTTGCGAAGAACTTTACATATTATGATGTGCCTCAAATTCATTTTTAATTTCTTTTTTAGAATATCTACAAATTATCATAAATGTTTTACAAAAATGTATCTGACAGGTATGATTGTTACCCGTAAACATACACAATGTACATAGAAAATTTAAAAAAATATTTTTAATAGACTTGAATATTTAAAAAAAAAAATACATAAAATATTGAATTTTTTTTGCCATTTGGGATAATCTGTAAATTGAAGCAAAAATTATTTTGACGTGACATTACATTGTTTATTTTTAATCCTATGAAACAACCATATTATAATAGTTACTTACGAAACTCAGCTATTGGATATTCGTAGCACTTATCATATTCAATAACTTGTTTTACTCTTAGATTTACAATCGGTATCAACTGAATGTATTCCCAATGATTTTTTTCTACTCTTGTAATTTTTACTAGATATCCATTGCAAACCATGACTAAAATTCCACCAATCTGGACAAAAAACAAAATTTTTTTTTTTTTTAATATAGCGTACACTACTTCTCAATACTTACCCTAATAAGTGACTTAAAGAATATATATTTGTCTGGAAAAACTGGAGTGGGACAATACACTTTATCGTAGTAATTAGACGGCAACAATTCGGCGGGATCACCTACACATGAAAATGTTAACTTAACACATATATTCTATAATTTAAAAACTTCTGCTGCGTTGGAAAAAACTTTATTGGTTCAATAACCCTTATTGTAGCAATTTGACCAATCCAACCAACATTTGTGGAACTAATAAAGTTTTGTGCAACCTAGAATTTATTTGTCTACAACATATCTTACCTAGTATAAAAGTAGGCTCACAAAAATGATAGTAATCAATTGCGGCTGAGTATTCTTTAAATTCTTTTAGCTTCTGATTAGCACTGTGTATAAGAAACGGATGAATTTCGATACCATGGTTGACACCGTTTGTACCTAAATGAATTTAGAGAACAAAAGAGACATTTCAATGATCAAACATTGGTTTAATGTGATAATTTTTAGTTAAAACTTACCTAACAACAAGCCGGCTATAGTATTGAAATAACCAACTCCAGAACCTATGGCCAAAAATTTATCACCGGGTTTTAACTCCAGACATTCGATGGCTTCTGCATTCATCGATCTTGATTGGTATCTTTCAATGTGGTAATTGAAATTAAGATAACCGTTGGCATGATGGTGTTTGTTGAAATAAAATCTTCTATCAACACACCTGAAGACCATTTCGACATATGGAGAATGTACAACTTTATTATACACATTGTGAAAGTTGTCGAATTCAGAGATTAATTCATTGTTCAATTCATTATTCAATGGATTGTTTAATTCATTTTTAGACCTTGGTCCATATTTGCTCCAGTACTGACCCATATTACTTTACGTATTTGACAATCTTTTTTATAATAACTACCTGAAAACATAACACATTTTAAATCCACTATAAAGCTCATGAAGCAAAATATATTTAAGAGTACACTATTGAGAATTAAGGCCAACTATAAAACAATATAGTATATTTAACCTAACCTAACCTGTAACAGTTTTCAAGCTTAATAGGGGAGGGTTCTTATTTAGTTAGTGATATACAATGCTTTTCATAAATATTGTGAATAAATAATAACAGTAAGGTATGCCTTTTTCACTGTCGTTATAACAATAAAAACATATATAAGGTGTAGGTAATAAATTTAGTTAGAGAAAAATGTAAATTTTGACACAACCTTCTTTTGATACTCAATGTAAGTTTATATTATCCTATATATTTTATATTTCATTATTATTAACAAGTACTGAGAGTTAATATGTATATTATACGTTATGTCCGTCTCAAAATATTTTCAAGCACATGCAAAGAAAAATGTCGTTAACTTACCCAATTAACTGCAAACGGTACGTCCGTCCAGTGGTTTGAACTGTTGGGTCTTTTTTTCTAGGAGTGTTGTTACTTGTACAGCGCAGAATAAGCGAGGGACCTATATAGGTAAATAATTTTGACATAAAAAAGTAACAGCAATTTAAATCAAACGACCAGTACCTATACAGTATACAGTGGTCTCCTGAAACGAGTCGGATGCGAATAATGGCTATTGGCTTGGCTTTCCGATCAATAAGCAGTAAGTGCCAAGGGCCATCGCTAACTCTACAAAGCGCCAGCTGTTATCATGTTATCAGCAACAGACAACAACTTGTCGCGGTATTGCGGAAAATATTATTTATGCGATACTATAAATACACATAACAAAAATTACCAACACTTTAGTAATTTTTTGTATTTTGGCTAATATTATATTGTCAGAGACAGCAAAATAAAAAACTAAACGTTTCAATAATACCACAAAATCGACTAAATTTTGTTGTTTAATCTAACCTATTCTAATCTAAACATATACTATAATGTGATAATAATGTGTTAAAAAATCATTTTTTTTTACCATTTAATCAGTCTATAGACAGTTTGATTTTAACGTTTCACTAACAATTATTTTATGGGGCGCCGTTGAAAAAAAAATACAAATTTGTTTGTACTCAATGGGGTAAAAAAGTTGATTATCATTGCTTAAGCAAGCGCGAGGCGGGTAAAGTAAAGTACCTATTTAAGAGTTAAGAGTAGGTAGGTGGGTGTATAATTAATTATGTAGCGACCTGATCTATAACAAATCATTTAGACTTAAGAGTAAACTATAGTGCATAGCTTCAATAGTGGTTATTTATAATAATATAAATAACCACTAAAGAACGGATAGCAACTCTATTGGGCCGTATAATCCGTATGCGGTTGGTACTTTGCTAGATCAAAAGTAGTAAAGTTCACCTTTTCCCCTTAAAAATTGAAAAAACCGCCCACATTAATGTATATATTTATCTACTTGAAATTACAGAGCACTATAACGTTTTTAAAAATGGACGATTAACGAGGGAGGATACAAGGAAGGGCAATAGGGGCAATTCCCCCCCCTCCCCGTTCACAAAAAAAGTATCAAATATTCCATTTGTAATTAATTGTGACTAAAATTTTGTTCATGCAAGTCATCGAGAGAGGGTCATTATTGTATTTACCATGAACATTTAACTATTTTTCCATTGAAAATTGTCCATTTTTGTTTTATTGAAATAGTGATCACGGCATCCGAGGCGTAACATTTTATCTACAACCGGTTATTACTGGGGTTTGACACAGTACACATACAAAGATATATGATATTACCTGCTATATTCTACGATTTTGCGATAACACCAGTTACCAAGTCGATCTATTTTTAAATTAATATGCCGTACTACAATGGCTTTGCCGCTCCTCGCTGCTTGCCGCATTAGTTTTCTTTTGACAGTAGTTTAATTTATTTTATAAGACAAATAATATAAAGTTTATTTGACAAGAATTAAAAAAAAAAAGTATTTTAGACCAAGTTATCGCTGTACTTGTTGGACCCCGTCTCACAAGTCGTGCAGGCACGGCGCCAGAATTTTTTTCTTAGGGGGGCGGGAAAGGTCAAGTGAATTTTTTGGAGGGACAACCACAATAATTTTACCTACTTCTGTCAATAAAAAACAATTATAATGATTTATCAGTGAATGACTTTAATATTTATCAGTGAAATAGTATAAAACATGAATTTATTACAGATTAAGGGACAATATACACTAGTGTACAATTTAAGTAAGGCAACTTTTTTAAATAAGCGTTATTTTTACCTGTCGGCCATCATATAGCTCTTATTGTACTCTATGAAAGTCGAAGTAAAAATGAAGGCTTATAAAACGCCCAACAACCGGTCAGTGGAAATTATAGTTATCGTGTTATACCTACATTCTATTAAACCAAAACAATCCGTCAATAAACACTGAATTTTTGGAAAACACACACAAACGTAAATATTATAATTATATATATATATACACCAAAACACATAATTATATGGGCGACGGATTATTGATAACCGATTGCAAAAACACTCAAAATATATTGATAAAAATAGGCCACATTTGGTGGCAATGTCATAACTAATAACTAAATTTGTATAGATAAACAGGTTTAAATCAAAACAACAATTGTTTTCACAATTTCCGTAATAACTAAATTTGTATATATAAAAATACAGTTATTTAAAATCTGGGTTTTAGGAATAATAATCAAATATTTAAAATTATACTATTTAGCAAAATATCTGGGGGGCGAGAGAAGGGCAAGAATTTGTTATGAGGGGGCGACCGCCCACCCTCGCCCCCCCCTAGGCGCCGTCCCTGAAGTCGTGTTTTGCGGCGACCAACATACAATTTTACTGAATAATGTAAAATCAATCAAACCTAAAAAAATCATTAGTTTAATAGTTAATCTAGTGCCTGATCGAAGCTTTTTTTTTTTTAGAAAATAAACAAAATGGTGACCTCTGATCATTTACTTAAGCGGATTTTCAAGGAAAAAAGCACTAGTTTATTGTTTATTAAAAATATAATTTTTAATAAAAAAAAAACCTTTGATCAGGCACTAGTTTTTTATGCTTTTAATAAGCTGTATAAATTTCATTAAAATCTGTGAAGTGGTTTTTGAATTACAGTGGTCACCGACTTTGAAAAAATAGATAAAAACTCATTTTAAAAGTTTTATACTCGATTTATGTATAGAAAAATAAATTATTTAATTACTTACATCGAGTTATAATATTCTTTTGATTAACTTAAAATTTTCAGATAACATTTTCGAGACATCATACTTTAAGAAAATACAAATAAAAAAATCGAATTTTTGAAAATCCTGACTACCCCTAACTCCTAAGTTTTTCATTCAAAATTAAAAGAAGGTGTCTTCTAAAACAATAAGACCCATCACATTCACCAGTATGGCTGATTTCTGTACACAAACAATTTTCATGTCGACTAATAATAAGACATTTCCTTTGCCTAGCTATTCCTATTAATTTATTTTATTCATTTATATTACCCCCCCCCCCCCGTTTAGGACCTCTGTATCCGCCCTTGGCGAATAAGTTCCAAATTTGTATAGAATATTCTTCAGTTAAAATGCAATCAATAAACATTAATAAACTAAAAAAATAGCATAAATCATTTCCCCTGGAAGGAAATAAATCTTTTCCTTTACATCTCATTTTTCGAGCAAAGTTTTAGGACTCGAGGACTGAAAATTAGACTAAATGTTTATATAGTGTAGGGCTATAACATAATACACAATTATTTCTTAAAAATCTGTAGTCAAACTTTTTTATTGTTAAGGAAAAACCAAAAAAAAGGGCGGAAATTACACTTTGACATTATTCAATTTCTGTGTTGTGAGTGAATCAACAGTCAACAGGTATTTGGAAATATTTTCATTATATTGTTACTTATTACGATAAACGGGCAACAACTTCAATAAATAATTATTAAAGACGGACCATCAACTCTAACCGTATCTAACATATTACTATAGTTACATTTTTAAGCACATTATTGTCATTAAGTAGGTACAATACTTTTTAAAAATTTAGTCGTGTGACAACAATAATTTAGTTTCAACTATAGAATTAATTTTTTTCACTAATTTTAGTTTCGTTTCAGAGCGTGAAAAGATATTTCACGCTTTAGTTTTAGTCCACAAAATTTTGTTGACTTTTTTTTTTTGGTCTTGGGGAAATCATGTTAAAATATCAACTATAAAATTATTTTAAGTGAAAACATATGGTAATATATTTTTTTTTGTAATTGCCTAACCAATACCAAATTTTTAACATCTTACATTTTTTTATTATCTATTTGTCTTGATTAGGGTTTGTAAATGTATTAGTGTAGTTAAAATTTACCTAGCATGATAATGTTTTAGGTTTATTTAACCACGTCTAGTTATTTATTTAATTACGTCCAATGTTGTAAATACACCGTTTTGTTATATTTTCAACGTGTTTTGAAAATTTAAATAATTTTTTTAAATGTATTTCAAATGTTTTTGTATTATATATTTTTTTTCCCGCTCAATTCATACTTAACTTGTTTCATAATAAACATAAGAATTTGCTAAGAGTACTTCTTACAATGCTCTCGAATTACTAAAAAACAAAAGAAGATTTAAATTAGTATAGATTTGTATAAAACAGTTTTTGAAATAATATTTCAGACATAAACGAATTGATTTCATCTAATATTTCTTATTTTAAAATTATTATGGCTCAGACAAAAATTTTTTATGGTTGTTTCAGACCTGCACTCAAGTATATAAATAAAAAAGGCCAGTTGACAATGTGTAGTTTGTCTAGACGGTAATGTATTGATTTGAAATGATAAAAACGAATTCATGAAATAAATAGATGTTGTTTGTAATTTACTGAAAAAAAAACGTTTCGCTTAACCGCAGGGAAGATTCAAATAAAAATCTCAAAACACTTTTATTACTCATTTATAAATTATTTGCAAAGATCCAGCACGAAATCCACGGCCACTCTACTGCGTGTACACTCGAATATTTTCTCGGGGATCATAAACAGGGACTTTGAGGGGCCTATGGTAATTTAATAGGTGTACTGAATATGCCTAACGATACCATCTGAACGACTACCTGTTTTGTATTATTTTTACGTGTAACGTATTATGATATAAAATTCGTACAAGTCGTACACGTTGTGGACGAAAGCACCCCCGTAACTCTTCCAGGCTCCAGTACAGCTATTGATCATTAGCGCGCGCAGGAGTTTCCCACGGGGTGCTCATCCGCAACAGCTTATGCGTCATTCTTCTTCGAATTTGTCCATGATCAATACGCAAACGCCCGTGTGCAGGCTTGGGTACTTGCAAACAGGTCACGTCGAGATTCGCAAGCTCCAGTACAGATTTATATATATATAATATTCTACGTCCCTCCTCAACCGTCACTGTGGCAACGGTATGCCCAGGGCTGATGCGGTGGGGACATAAAATATATCTTTTATATTCTCTCATTGAATTTTTATATTTTCAAGAAAATTACCCGAGACGCCTGTTAGTATTTTTTTACATAATCAAAGCTATAATAATATGACAAAAAAACTATGGCCAAGTTAAACAGTGTTATCCAATGACACATTTGGGATACAGTCCATTTTTTTAAGGTTGGAAATTATAATAAAATGTGATATTGGCAAATGGCAATCGTGGCCAGGACTTCACTCGCTTTGTTTTTTTCAAAATGCAATAACAATAATAAATAATAAATCGACTTTTGGCTTCGATGCGGAGCTGAGATGCTGTTGGTTTTATTTACTATTTTGATGTGTGTTTTTTTTTTTGTGTATTGTGTACACTGTAACTTTTTTAATACTGAACCAATTCCTTCGAGTAGCAACTTTATAAATTACAAATTTTATCTAGTAGGTACTTTGGAGAGGAGAGTAAAAGTTTAAAATATTCACTCAGTCTCCCTTAAAATCGGGAAAAACGAAAAAAAAAATTATACGAGTTTTAAAGTTTTAACTTTTATTAGCTATAATTTCAAGAAAAATGGTCGGATCGAGATGCAATATTTATTTGATGTCTCAAATTTTAATTTACCTATATCCCACCCTCCATCGAAGGAGGAAATTGTTTGGTGTTATTTAACCATAATTTTATAACCTTTGAGTTGAAAATTGGTTGGGAGGTAGGACTCAAATGTATATATAACATATTGAACGATGAAAAAAGTTGGAACTTTTTTACAATTGTCAGTAAACTGTTTTTTTGTAGATTTTGTGTATTTTAACACAAACACGTTAAAATGTTGTACAAAACAATCAAGTCTTGCCATTATTTCTGTAGACATTTATTTAGAGTGATTTTATTCCCTATGCTATCAGAAATCAGTTTTGATTTGTATTATTGACTATTATATTGTCAACAGTACAGCGGGGTCGGGGCATAGTGGGGGACGAATCATAGTGGACGGGCAAAGCTTAAATCACTGGAATTATTATAACTGAAAGTAATAAAATCATTTTCGAATAAACGCCTCGATGCAAATGTGTGAAAAGTAAGTTCAAATCAAACTCAGTTTAACCCAATACAATCCAAACCAAGCACACTATAAACCAGCAAAGTAATAAAGTAGGTTTTAAAATAAGTTCCAGGGTCCTTATACAGATACGTATCGAAGCGTTTTTTTGAAAGTGATTTTTATCAAATTTACACAAAATTACGAAAATGCTATAAAAAGATGGAAAACATTCAGCTGGAAATAATTGTTTATATTTATGTGAATGGTTATTTACTGAGAACGCTGTTTTTTCTAAGCCGTATTTATAAATAAGTTTTTTGGTTAAACACCTACTGGTATTTTGGTGGTAAAGCATTTGAAAAAAAAATGGTTGGAATGCCAATTTTTGTAAAATGTTTATAGATAAAACTTGCTTATAAATTTTAGAACTTATCCGGGCCCTATTTTTTTTAAATTTACATAAAAAAGTATATCGTTGTTTTTTAAATATTTTATACCTATGTTTTGCATTGTAACGTTTTAGAATAATTTTTAAAATATTTTTTGCTATATTGGAAGAATCCAAAGACATATACATTTAGTTCGATTTTCATTTTTTACAAAATTTGAAACTCTACTGTATTTTATACTTTAATTTGTGAATTTTTACCTCTCTCTAAGGGCCAACTTGTTTAGTGGCTATTTGCTCAAAAATACGTAATAGAGAAAATTTTTGAATTTTTAGTAAAGTCAACATTTATCTAGCATGATAATGTAAAGCATTAAACTTAAAATCTTCAGTAATTTTTTTAAAAATCTTTGTTAGGTAGTTATAAAATTTAAGAAAATCGTATAATATTTGTTTGAGTCTTACGTCTTACACTGCACAACATAATATTGATTCAATAACCAATATATATATAATATATATATTTTTTCTTTTCGTTAAATCCGAATTTGCCCTTTGAATTTTTCGAGCACATGTAGCATATTTACTAAATCACCTCTAAAGTTGTAAAAAAACAATGTTTTTAAATATATTTTCAGTGTATTCTAAAGGTTTCGAACAATTTTCTAAAATGTATTTTAAAAAGTTTTTTATTCTATTGCTGTTTTGTTAAATTCACAAATATATATAGCTTCATAACTATTAATGTAATTATTATTATTTTTTTATACACAAAAGAATATTCGGAAATGTAAGTTTTCAATTTTAGAGTCGATTTCAAAAACAAATGGACGTCTTGGATCTAACGTAATAAAAAAAACCTAAATTATAAGACTTTTATTTGGGTTCTTGTTTCAATCGCATTACAGTGTACAAAATAAAATAAAATTTTTTTTATGATTTATCCTCGTTTTCTGATTCACTCTATTTTACTGTAGGTACCTCCACTCGGCTCATACACTCCTGGTACCGTTTTTGCAAAATTTCAACCTGTGACGTCCACGATGGACTAATACCGAAGGGTAAATCCATTGGGCTCCGTTTGGAAAAAAAAACTGGGTAAGGTACCTTTGACCCTATACATACTACGATACTAGGGGCACATAGGACCGACACATAGTTGGCGGCTGGCCGGAATATCGATTTTCGAGCAACATCTGTCGTTTTCTACATTTTTAATACAGTTTTACTCTTTTTGATGGTGCAAAACGTTACGCAGAGATTGTTTTAGGCATTTTAATATAAGACGTTTTAATGAGTTAGGTACACTATGATAAGGTCGCTGTTTACTCGGCTAGATATTGTACAAATTATTTTAAAAATAGGGACGTTTAAACACACGTTTCACACACATACTTCACCATATTATACTAATTACTAATTAGTAATTACACAATATACTTACTATCCAGTATATATCAATGGCATAGACCACAGTGCATAAGTTTTACAGGTTCGAAAATTCAAAATGCCGTTTTTTTACATGTATTTATTTCATTGCTTTGTCCTTTAGTCATAGCGGAGTGCGCAAACTTTTGTAGCATATAATATGGCTACCATTTTTTTTTTTACCAACTACCCCTTCATAGAAACCATAAATAATTTACACCTACAAACAAAATATGTAAGCAAAACATAAGGAACAAATGAATATATTTTAAATAATTTACATTACCTACGCTAAAATGTTTAATTCAGATAAACTGCATACTGATAAACAATATGACAAAATTATGTCAAATACTTATTGAATATTATAATTATTAATAGTATTAACCTTCGTCGTTCTCCTTCTATTAAAATTTCGAACTCTTCAATTACTTTAAAATAATTTACTGAATTAGTAACATCTTGTTCAACAAAACTTTTATAATAGTGTGTCCAGTCGTTCTTCCAATGTATCCAATGATGAATTATTTTAGTTATTGTACCTTTAATAGTCAATATTCTGATGATAGGCTTGTTATTCAGAAATTTAACATTTTAATTCATTAATATCAGTGTCAAATAATATTTTAAAAAATGTCATGGATTTAAATTTATTAATTTTACAACACCTTGAGTTCAAAATTGTATTTTAATCTTGTATAATGCAATCTAAATTCAATATGCATTTTATTCTAATTGTACTATTCTATTGTGGTGTTGCTACAAATATCACGCATTACTTTTAAACTCCGGCAATAACAAACAGTGTAATAGGACAGTTTAGTTGATACAATTTACCATGTCGATTGTAGTTATTAAATGTGTAGATTGTATCAATTCTTTAATAACAACACTATCATATGGAAATTGATAATACCATAATTATTTAATTTAAATGTTTTTGGATAGAAATTATAAGACCAACGAGCAACATAAACAAAGAAACTCAACAGTCTGTATCTTAATAGTTACTGTATTTTTTCACAATCACACAAGGACTTAAGTACAATACTATTATATTATGACTAATACTATCGATAAGGTTAGATGAGTATATAATGATAAATTGTAATTTTATAAGTAGTAGGTAAGTAGAGGTACCAAATTAACAAATATAAGGCATAGCAAAAAAAAAAAAAAGTACAAACTTATATCTTATATATATTGGCACACAAATAATGTAATATTTCTATTAAATAGAAATAATTTAGGTAACAGAATTATTAAAATAGGTGATAGCGATTATGTAAATCGTATAATAAAGCAAAGCCTTCGAGCCTACTTCCTGATTTTTACGCCATACGAAAAAAAAAGGAATGTATAATGAAGTATTTAAAAATCAATATTAAATATTTAAGTTAGAAAAAACGAAAAAACTAAATTTTATACATCATTAAATTCATAGTAAAGAAATATATTAAATTAATGATTTTATAGGAAAATAAAATAAATGATAGCCTTGTATAGGAATTTTTGACCAAAATATATCAATCGTTTTTCATAAAAATAATTATTATTACATACATAGTTTCATAAATAAATGTTATTTTAATAAAACATTAGTTATGAATAATAATTAAGCATAACGATTTGGTTAAATAGTAAAAAAACACATTTATGTTACAAAAAACTTTAAGGTAAAAAAACCTAAACGTTTTTGTAAGAGGGGTTTCAAATATAAATAAAAGGGGATCCATTTAACGTAAAATACTTAATTATGGTAACCATTTAAAACTAGATATGGGCCAGTACATATATATTTGATGATTATTACCGATTTAAAAGGAGTTAACAAAACATGCATGTAGATTAATATTTAGTAAAGAACACAATAAAATAAAATAGTGATAATAATAATTATATAATCCAAACTAAAATAAAAATTGCATAATATCTGAAAGAAATTAATTACTTTCGTTAAATGGATTTCCCTAAATATACTTATTGTTAATTTATTTAGTTATTTGGATAACATTATTTTAATAGTATCATTGCGCTTTTGAATATTTTGGTTTTCGCCTTGCAGCTCTTCAATTTGTCCTCGTAATTTTTCTTGCTCTTCTTCTTGACGATTAATAATGTCTTGCAGACGAGCCAACTAAAATAAAATATAAATATTTGCTTATACTTATAAATTTTTCCTAATAAATTCATTTTTTAAAACTCAAAAACATTGCTAATTACATTGTTATTATAATGTTGAAAATAAATACATGGTTTTTTTTAACTCTTAAATTTAACAATTTATACCTTTAAATAATTTCTGCGATAATCTGTGAATAACGTTGGGCTGGTAGAACGCAAGTGCCAATTTTCATGGAAATTATTTATATTATCTTGATTTACTTGAAATGTGGTCGGGGCCTCGTCTACAACATCAAATTATTATAATAACGCGATATATTAAGATTAAACCATATTATGACATACTCCCGTAGAATTCTCCTTTGAAGAGAGCTTCAGTTCTATCCAAAATTTTTTGCACGAGTCTATTGAGGGTATCATCGATTTTTGCGACAGCTCGTTCGGAGGAGTGTACGAGATAAGCTAATCTGTCATCTAAGTCTAGCTCTTCCTTCATGGTTGGCATTTTTATTATAACAGTTTCATTGTTGTTGCCTAGAATAAATTTAAAATAAGTGCAAATTTAAAATTTAATTAAAATATTAACACAACATTGAATCACATACAGATATTTTTTGGAGAAAATTACTCATTCACTAAAAAATATTGTTTTAAAATACAAAAGAAGTTTACGCTCTCTTAATATTTGTAAAATTAATAAATTTAAATCCATGAAATATTTTTTTAAATATTATTTGAAGCTGATAATAATGAATTAAAATGTTAAATTGTGAATAACAAGGCTATCACCGGAATATGGACTATTAAAGGAACAATAACTAAAATAATTCATCACACTAGATACATTGGTTAAATTTAAATGATCTTTCGACTATTTTTAATTGTTTTTCAAACATTTTAAAAATTTTTTTGACTGTGCCGTAACTAGCTGTTTTGTGAACGATCCTTTCCAAAATTGAGCATTGTGAGAACAAAGTTATGGTCCAAAATCGATCAAGAATGACTAAACTCTTAATATTATTATATACTAATAAATTTATGTACTTGAAAAATCATCGGCGATTTCAGTATTAAATCTTTGCAATAGTACACTTATATCTTCGTTCAATTGATCCCAGTGGCGACTGACAGCCTTCAACAATGATTTATCTTCCTTTCTATGATTTTTAAGTGTTTCTATCTGACTTTTTAACTTCATCACCAATCTATTTCTTTGCTCTAACCACTAATTTGAAATTATACACAAATAGTTAGTGGTCGATAAAATATTAATATGTAACAAATATAAAAATACCACCTCAGCAATAGTTTCACAATTTGATTTGTCGGTAGACGATTCAGGGTCCATTATAACCGATCCAAAACGTACTTTTTTCAAAGGCGGCTTAATAACATTGCTTTCTTCTTCCGTACTTCTCTTTGACATGTTACTTCCTTGTTGTTAAAATTACAAACGTAGGTTTATTTACTAAAAAAAAAAAATAAAAAATTTTAATAGAAATTATCTTGTTTTTTTTTTTTTAATACAAATAATAATTTGAATGCGCTGCAAAAAAGCGATGGAATTAGCTGGCTGCGAGTCACACGTAATATCAGTTAAATATACTGTGTAAGCAGACAGAAAAATTCATAGAAACAGGATATAAAAAAAGCCGACAAAATGCAATACGAGGGCTAGAAGTACAAACATTAAATTATAATGCAACGACATGACGTAGGCAAAATTAAGATCTACCTAATACCTTATATGCAGTTTCGTCCAAGGTATTGTAAATAACGATTAAGTACTAATTATAAAAAGTATTGGCCATTGCAAACTAATTAACATGAGAGATAATAAAATGTATAAATAAATACAAACGAATGTCTATGTTCGTTACGTTCACAAGTAATCTTGTGCGGGTCACTTGTTTATATTGTCACTTAGGTACATCAATTATATTATCGCTTACAAAAAATATTACAAGTATAAATACTTACATTTACAAGACGGCGGTCGACTTTGTTACTTTCCGGCAAAACGGAGCTGTGATAATAATTAGATTATTGATAACAGACGGGTGAAAAACTGAAAATATTCTATGCGGCAGTGGGTGTAATCGTATATAATAAATAGTATCAGGTTTACGAATTTCTAAGAATAATTTTATGGGTTGATCAAAAACTTGAGCGTCAAACGGTCAACGGGAAGAAATAAAAATTATAAACTTGATGCGGTTTCTCGTGACATTACAATGACTGATCTCGGGTTAGGGCCAGGCACTACGACGACCTCCTGTTCTTCTGTGTCTACGGCAATACTGATGAGTACTATCAAAGCGAAAAATAAGAACAATGTTACAATTATCAACACCAACTTCAACTGATGCTGCGTGAAGAAGGTCTCAATAAATTGAATCAAAACGGCTGCAAATATTACAATATAGATAATATTACGACAACAGTTTAGAAACAGCGACCTGGGCATGATAGATGGTTTGCAGGGTTTTTGGGCGACGAGGCAACACTGTGATATTGATTTCCGTAAGAGACCGACTTAGTCTTGGCGGGTCGACGCGGGCGTTAGGACTGTGGACGGTGCTGTCAGGCGTCGCCTAGACCCGAGCATAGCGTACACATACATATATACATATTAATGTAAACAGTGCTTTTGTGTTGGACTTTAGGGGTGCTTCCAGCCTCCCGGCCCCTGCTCTTGCGCATGCTTTGCCCCGGGCAGAGAGCAAACGAGCGGATTCTCTTGGTATTGATCGCTCAATTCCGGCGCAACAGTACCCACTCGCCAGGGACCGCTTGTGTTGTGTGCGAGATACAATTAAATTACTTCGTTCCCGCAGTACTTACTACATCGTTCCAGACGGTTTTCGCTGCGGTTTTTTGGTCCACACCAGGTAAGTTCGAAGTTAACAATATATTTTATATACTTACATATCAGTGTCCCATACACCTCCACACTTAAGTTTGCAATCATATATTATTATGTGTATAGATGGGGAAAGGATGTGAGAAAAGTTAAATAGTAAAACATCTTAAAGGGATTAACGCATACTACAGCGACATTGTACGATAGAGTTTGACTGTATGAGATTTGTGCAGGAATTGTTTTTGCTATCGATGGGAACAATATTTTGCACATTAAAGCAAAAGTTTACTCTATGTTTTATAATTTCAAAAATGTTCTGAATTTTTATTTTACTTTGTATTTATTATGACATTTAGGTGGCGATACACTTTCTTAGATAATTTCTGAAATATTAAGCCGCTCGACTAATATTTTCTGGCATTATTGTTGCTTTATCTTATTATATTATAGTTTTAAGTTTATTAATAGTATTAGTCTATTTATAAACTAGAGGAGGAGTGGCCGAGTGGGTAAGACGGCAGTGTGTTAGCGCTCACTGTCGCCGGTTCGACACCCGGTCACAGGCACTCCGTTTGCTGGGCGAGCAATCGTCCGGTAAAAAGGAACCGCCATCCCCCTCTCCGGCGACGGATTGACGACCCGTCTCGGAAGCGAATTCGTCAAGAAACCATCTTGATGGCAGCATTGGGCCTTAAAGGCCCGCTAAGCTTGGTGGTTTTGGTTTTTATTAGTCTATTTATATACTTCAGCTTTGAGAAAAAAAAATGCAAGAATTGTGATCAGGTACACGTAACCGTACAAGAAACTGATGTTGCTGCGTAACAACACCAGGGCCCCAGGAAAATATGTTTTGATTTTTGTCGTATGAGAGGCACAATATGACTAATTGTATCTTGTATGGAGTGCTCTGAGACTTAGAAGCTAATATAGTTTAACTTTACCTTGCTCTTGTCAAATTGTATTTGAGCGTTAGGTTCTTCAACATTTTTACGTATTTATAAATGTTTTATGATCTTACAATTTTTATTTCTGTATCAAATACAATTTGTGTACGTTTTGTTTGTTAGTCAGATTAATTCAATATTGGACGTGAAGTCTCTTTTTCACTAACAATTTATGTTAGGTACACATAAATAATGCTTCGTAAGTTAATTATTTGTTATTTTAAAAAGCAAATAATTAAAAACTATGAAAAAGTTAAAATTTGGTTTTATAGTTAAAAATGTTATTGATTAAAACTCATTGACAATTTTATTACTATAATAGAATAATTGTTGAAATTAATTCTTGGTAGTCTGTTTTGGACAAATTAACTTAAAGCTAAGGACAACAATTATTTTTGTAGAGAATTGAAAATTTCCTTGTTATGAAAGAATTAATTTTCAAAAAATTACAATTATTTGACAAATAATATGTTACTAAATTAAACTGTATTTTGATGTGTAATGTCAAGGTAGGTTGTAAAAAAAAAATCAAGCACAATCACGCTCTTATCTGCCCAAAAAATGCACGCACACTAGAATAGTTATCACAGACAGCTCCAATTCAATTTGCCATTAGATAAACACACTATATAGAATAAAATATAGTATACAGTTTATATTAGTAACTCTCCTTTTGTCGCATTTGTAAATTAAAAAATATTAAAATTGTTTTTAATCTGAGTTGGTAATAACTTAGTTTTTTTTTTAAGGCTAGACCCAATTAATTTATTTCTGGTGTAAATGAACCCAATAAAACCCATATTTTTGTGTAAATACCAAACATTTGTTTACTCTGGTTTCAACTTTCAAAACTATTAACCCTATCAAGTGCATGCACATAAGGGTTAATAAATATACCAAATTTACTCCCCCCCCCCCAAAGAAAAAAATGCTTTCAACTTACTGAAGTTATAGAGCTAACATTTTTATTAAAAATATTTACAGATATCATTTTAAAGAAGATAACCGAAACTCAGAGTGAAGATGAACAACTATTCTTTAGACCATTTGAATTGCCTCATCAACGGGTTGATTTTCAAAAATGTAATACAGAGTAAGAGCGTTGAGAGTGCGTTGCGGTGTGTCAGTAGAGATTTCTATAATATAACGAAAAACCGTCCAAACGCTAGTTTTGATGCCCAGGTTGACAAAATACATTCAGTACCGATATATGCTGAAGTCTTGGAATATCTGTCATTGAGACCGGGAGACAAATTTTTAAATATTGGTTGTGGAGTCGGCTACTTGAATACTGTGGCTGGTTTGTTGATTGGTAAGTTATAAATCAATTTTCTCATAGCTAAGCATTTAGTCGTTTACATATTAACTTACACTAGATAATATTACTAGTTTATTTTTACCTTAAGTGTAAATGTTACAAATGTATTTAGGTTCAAATGGTGTCAACCATGGTGTAGAAATTGTTCAGACTGATGTAGAGTTTGCTTATCAGAAATTAGCACAATTCAAATTAAACGCAGCAGCAATTGATTATTTTGATTTTTGTGAACCGATTTTTGCGCACGGTAATTTTTTTACTTAAAAATATTGTTATCATTTTTATTATGTTGAATAAGAAAACGTGTAGTTTTGTTTACACAGGAAATATCTTCGATGCAACACCTACGGCTTTCTATGATAAAATTTTTTGTGAAGGAGCGATCACGTCTACTCAAGATATGTTCATACGATCGTTTCTTAAAGTATTATATATATATATATATATATTTTTTTTTTTGTATAACTGATATATTTTCTCCTCATGTAACTCTTGTGATGTAGATTGTTAAAAAAAAAAAAAAAAAATGCTATTGCTAAAAATTTGGACAGATTGTATCTATCAATGAAAGATAAATAAATTAAAAACAGATATACTAATGCAGTTTCACAAAATGTTTCATACTTTTCTAGGTTGGCGGAATGTTAATCGTGCCAATTCATCATACATTTTTTAAGATAACAAGAATTTCAATAGACTCATGGGACACCGTTCACTTGTCATGGATACTGGTATCACCAATGATCGAAGCAAACAAGTTAAATGCTATGCCACCAGCTGAGTTTCGTAAGTGACATTTTACGGTAGCAAATAAGAAATAAGAAGGAGCCATTGCTATTCCTCCTTCGTGGAGGTTATCAACAGCTCCTCTGCACTAAAAGTCATTTTTGAGGGTGGCGTCTACTTAATTTTAGTATATAAAAAGTAAACCTTCATAACCTCTAACTCTGTTTATTTAACATATTTTATTTAGGCAATAAAACTTACATGTTAGTATTTTTTATTCTCATAATTAAAAAAAAATAATTCATTACTAACCGACTAATCGGTTATTTATTACTTTTATTCATTACTCGAATAATTCTTGTTCAACTCTGTTTATAGCTACCGTTCAACCGAGAAATTTGGATGACATATGCAGGTCTACTATTCGTTTGGCACTACGTGATTTTTTAATGGCCAAATTTCCTCATTTCAAAATTCTTACCAAATGTACTAAACAGTATTCCGAACAATGCGTAATCCAGCATTCAAATGGAGCGTACGAAGCCAGGGGAATGAATATCATCCTAAATACTTTACAACAGACTGAATTTGAAAATGTGCCTGCAATACCAGAAACCGACAATGATATCGTAAATGAACTTGTCGACCGAGAGCTCAATTGGTTGAGATTTCCTAAGGTTCTAAGTGTGTATTTTAGACAGTCAACTCATGGAAATTACCCAGCAGGAGCTGAACGTCCGTTGAAGACGAAAAGAGACAAAGACTCCAAAAAAGCCATTATTAACGTAATCAAAGCGTCTAGCTCTGAATACAACGTTGTTCTTGAACGAAGCGCAAATAAATTTAGTAAGAGTTTACGAGAAACAATAAATGAATTGCCTCTTCCCAGCAAACTCATATGCTTCCTTAACAATGACAAAGACGATTAACTTTTGTATTTTTCTAATTAGTACCCTTGTCCAAAACTCTTTTGATCATATTGCCAATATCCATGCGTATTTGTTGAATGTGCTTTGTCTATGTTAAAATAAAACGCTACAAATTTTAGAATCATGAAAGAATATTCTATTATACTATTATTCTATTAAGAATATTCTATTGACAGAATAATAGATTAGTCTAAACATTATTTCTGACTATAATCAATTCTTGTATGGTGTTATTCAGATACATGTTTGTTTGATAACTAATTATCATTAAGTTATTTAAATTTTGTATACATTACTAAATTAAGAAAATAAACAATTGAATATTGTGCAACATACCTACCTCACCATTTTATTGTCTATTCTAATAAATCAATTTATTTATGATTAATCATTTTTTATTTGACTTGATGGTGACTTTTTGTGAAAACGCGTCGTGGAAAAAGTTTTTTTTAAACACTAATCGTTCATCATAATTTTTTTTTTCTTTGAAAATATACTTAAATAAAGGCTATAAAAAATGTTTAAAAAAATATACTTAAAAAAAAATTAGAAAATATTTATTGTGATTATGTGTAATAATAAAATATAATAATGGAACATAATATATTATACTCTCATATAATCGAATATTAAATATAAGTATACATTTAATCTTATTGACTTCCAAATTTAGCTAAATATACTTTAGAGAATGTATTATTAGACAAAATGAATGTTGTTGTGCATTACATGAAATATTCATTATAAATTAAAAGATTGTGTTATCTAAAATTAATTTTAGTGTATTTACCTATTAATTCATCATATTATGTATTGTAATCGAGAAATAATGTATATAATATATATATGAACTGGAGTGTAATATTTGTGCATATATATATTATGCTTTAGAAAATTAAACTATAAGGGAGTGTGAGTGGTATATTTAATGTTAATAGCAAAATAGTATTATCTAAACTAATTGTAATCATTGTGTGTTTGTTTTTGGATTATGTTAAATAAAGAAAAAAAGAAAATTAATTGTTTTGTGTTACTTACATTATTACGTGAGATTCAGTTAGGATATTTTTTGGTATAATATTATAACAGCATCAGTATTTTCTCTTTAGTGCTAAATACTATAAAACATATTAGTCGAGTAAATAATAATTTTTGTTAAATTTATGAGCGGCTGGTACTTCAAGTTGACAATACATTGTTTATAAGTTAAATTATAAATCAACCCTTCAAACACGATGGCAAAATTGTTTGTTTAAAATTGGTAAATGTTTTTCAGAAGTACATTTTGTATTTTGTTTTCCTTGTAATCAGATAAAAAAAACAATATGAAAAAATTGGAAGGAATTTTTTGATGCTAATTGGAACTTATGTCTCTGTCTTAAAGTAACTTATAGAGAAAACATTAGGTAGGTATGTTTGTGGTGTTTTATTTTTAAATCAAATATAAGAAAACCATAGAAATGAACATTAATTTCATTATTGTTGTCGAACAGTTAATAATAAGTAATAATATAAAAGACAAATATTAAACATTAATAGGTATAATTGGTTTATACAATATACACAGGATCAATATTACCTTATAATTGGATGCCTAATTAACAATAGGTTAGGTTAGATTAGCTATTGTTGGCTAATTAAAATATTTAATTAAAAAAAACACAATAGCCCACGCAGCAAAAATATTTTTTTAAATATATAATTTAATATTTTATAATTATTACTAAATACAATTTTGAAAGGAAATTAAATATTAATAATACAATATATTTCAATAATACATACATATTTAAATTTATTTATAATGTTTAAGAAATATTTTTGAAACGTTTGTGTTTAAAAAAAAACAGTATTTTTACTGTGTGGGAAGTAGTAAGTACTATTCATAAAATCTACAAATTATTAATAAAATACATAATAATATTAATATAAGAATAAAAACTAATAAATCGTTTTGATCTGCTACAGTAATATATACAATAGGCACTCGTCTAAAGTAAAATGTAAATAAATAATACTATTATATATGATTCTAATTTACAGCTGTTTGAATCAGTCGCTAAAAATGTATTAAAATAAAATATAAAATATGACGGATGTACATGACTTGTGTTGTTGATCACACGACTAGTAAAAAAGAAGGATCAAACCGTCTACACATAAATCAAATCAATTGTTGTCTTTAAACGGTATGGCAAAAGTTGAGATGTTGTTTAACTTATATAGGAATCTAATGATGGATGGATCGGATAATTGAACTGCTTGAGTTTAAGCAATTAGAGAAAAATAAGTGTGACGGAACAAATCATGTTAAGGAGGAGGAAGATTTATGTAAGACTTCAAATAGGCGAAATTAGGTAAGAAATTAATATACAACGACTAGGTGGCATTGACGAAGATCGGGGGGAAGCTTGGGATCTCAAAAAAACTTAAAATTTGTTTTAATTTTAATAAGTCTCTTGCTAAAAAATAAATGTAGGTATTTTGAAAAGCGCTAATTTAAAGTTTTAAGATGTTTAGTATCCAAAACCCGGGGGCTCTGATCTCCACCAATGCTAGGTTGTGGTCCCCACTAACCGGTCGTCCTAAGATAGAAAAAAAAACGAGAGAGGTGGTCTAGGTCAGTTTGGCGACCAAAAAACATATCTTTTTGGTGCTAGAGGGAAGGTATTTGAGTATGATATGATAGCAGCATTTGTGCATTCGCTTTTAAGGGATCATCACAGACATAGATCATTAACTAAAAAATTGCTAAGCGTATAATATTATGTTAGCTAGCAAACCACGTAAATTCGCTATAGTTTACGTTTGGGTTAAAAATTCATTTTTAGCGATAAAGACAATTTTTAACTAATTCATTGTTTATACATATAATAAATAATGTATACATAGGTATGATTCGTGCTATGTGTGTTGAGCACAAATTAGTGCTTGGTATGACTTATGAGTCGCCATTAAATGACTATCAAATACTTTTGGAACAATTAGCAATCCATTGACGTATTAATAAAAAGGCCTATGCAAATCTAGTATCCTTTTCATTAATTATATCTTTATGCTAATCATCTATTTATATCTTTGTAGGTCGTTTTGAGTCGATGAGGGTGTGGTAAGAAGTTATCTACATCATGCCAACGAATACTATAAGTATTGCGGTATCTTGTAGAAACTAATTAAGTTTGGTGGCTACGTCGGTCTTGTAGGGCTGGAATAATTTGTTCTTGGTGTATTCTTTGTGGTACACTTGTTCGTGGACGGCCGCTGAACAGTCGGATTGGCCGTCCGGGCTTTTTGCTGTGGCTGTGGCCGCCGCCGGTGACGTGGACGTCATGAAAAACGACACGGGCGGCGGTGGCAAGTGTTCGGGTGTCGGGGACGGTGTGATGGACGAGGCGCCGCGATTGGCCGCCGTGTCCACGCTGGTCAACACGCAGTTGACGATGCCGCACTTGCAGCTAGTGCCGCCTTGATAATCGGTGTCTGCCGGCGGCGCGTCCGACGACGGTTTGAAGTTGTTGGTCGAATGTTGCAGGCCGTTGTGCAACCGGTTCAGCGACTCGGCGGCGGTCGACGCGTCCGCGTGCTGTTGATGTTGATGTTGATGCTGCAAGTGACGATTTTGATGGTGAACGTGGTTCTGGTGGTGATGGTGGACGAACGGCTTTTTCAGCATGTGCAGCGGCGACGGCGTGGACGACGAAGACGACGGCGTCGGATTGTAGCCGTGCGCCTGGAACTTGGCGTACTCGTGGAAGTAACCGGGCGTCGCGGCCGCCGCAGCCGCTGTGTACTGGTAAGCGTTGGCGATGGCCGCTATGTCGGGCAGCGTGCCGTTAACGTGGGCGCTGGCCGCGGCCGCCTGCAGCACGGTGGCCGCGAACGTGGGGTCCGTGTATACGGCATACGGCCAGGCCATGGCGATCCGCTGCCGTTTGTCCTTCATCCGACGGTTTTGGAACCACACCTGTAATTAGCAAATTATCAGACAACCACTCTCAATTTGTTCCTATTAAGATTTAATATCAACAGAAGATAACTACTGTAATTAGGTGTGTTTAATAATAATTAATAATGAACATTTAAATATGTTAATGAAATTAAAAGAAAATTGTATGAAGAAGCTAGTAATCTGTAATTTTATGGAGTTCCTATTTGAATAGGCTACTATCGATTAGACACAGATTGGATACATATCTATATATATTTTTGGAATCTTCATCAACTGTCAAATAATTTTCACTAAAAATTTTCCTTCCATAACAAATCATACTACAAATAGTAGCTATTGTATTTCTCATTAAAGCTCAACAGTTTTGTGAGATAAATTTGTGGAGTGACTTAGTAGTTGGTTAGAATTGGTAATGAGTATATTATTATTATAAGAGACAGTTTGGGAGGTGCGTCAACAAATGTGATCATTTTCGTTTTAACCATCTGTCGTTTGTTTTCAACGTGAAATGAACTTGTGAAAGGCGATGACTGGACTCTTTGGAATTCGGTCAACCTTTAAGTAAAAAACCGTTTGCCTACTAACCGTGAGTTGCACTAATAGAAGTATTATATAAATATGGTAAGTACAAGGTATAGGCAACAGCTTATAATCGAATGCACTTGTGTACCTATTTTGCATATACACTGCCCCTAGCGACTGTAATACATATAAGTCTACGACCATTGTTTATTATATTTCATAAATCTGTTTTAAGCAGTCCAAGGAAAGGATCGGATGTTATTTTAATGTGGTGCGAACAATTTATTTTTTTTACCGCACCTTTGATTTCTCAGATTACAATCACAAAATCACCAATGAAAAATTGACGTAAAGCCACTAGTCGCTTGCTAATAGAGATAGTCTCATAGTATATCGTGGTTAATTTACTATTTATCATGATTTATCCGTGATTTATCTGTTTATTCTGTGGTTTTTATGGCCAACTCACTTTGATCGTGGACTCGGGCAGGTTCAACTCGGTAGCCAGCTCACATCGCCTAGGTCTGGACACGTAGTTCTCTTTGTAAAACTCTTTTTCTAACCTGAGCAACTGTTCTCTGGTAAACGCCGTCCGGTACCTCCGGATCGTTTGGTCCGTCGAACCGTCTGCAACATCAAAAATAATATTGTAAATTGAGCTCAGCGAGATCAGATAAAGATAACGTTATTTTTATGTGAACCGTCGGACACCCCGTGAGACGTACATTTATTTTATTAATGTCCATAACAATATTTAAGTGGCAGTCAAAATCTCGGTGGCGTAGTATATATATATATATAAATATATAATGGCGTAAATATTATATTATACTAAGTGTATAACTTTATACCGGTCGTTGGCGCAGTCGGGTTTTAGTGCAAACGGTAAAAAAGCGTACAATGTCGGACGACTTCTATAGTTTATAATAACAAAATAACGACAAAACATTATTTTATATATATATATATATATATATATATATATATATATATTTCTTTATGTGGAATAATAAAACGTTTTAAGACTAACGGCTAGACTAGAAGATCAATGGATAAAGAATGAAATCCGCGCGAGAAAATTATTTTTTCAACAAACAAGTTGATAGAAATAAATGCGATTTTTTAATAATAATCATAATACGTATTAGCAATAGTGCAAGAAATTGCATTTCAAGATGTCAGGTGTACCTATAATTTTTATCTAGATATTTTTTAAAATTCAATATCTAGTTGTTATTTTCAATGCGAGTATCTCATTACAGCTCTGTCTTTGACTTGCGCCTTTACCGTCTTATCCCCCAAAAAATATTCGTTTAATATTATCGTACCTCGTTAGAATACGGATCTCATTCGTCTAATTACTATTCGGTTTGGCCTTACCTTTATTTTGGTCAGCGTGTGATCTAGAATCCATCCTCACGTTGTAGTTTTGCAAGTCGTTTTCCAACTTGGGCAATTGTATCTTGGCGAACATCAGACTGTTGTTTTGGCGGTCGGCGCCGGTCTCGTGATCCGAAGGCTGTTGGTTGGACCCGTTAGTCCTGGCCATGCAAGCGTAAGTCGAGTTGTGCATTTTTATTTTTCTTCCTACTTTCTCGGTACTGCGAATGTTATAGTCGCTGTTGTCTATCGGCTGTCGCCAAGACGTTTCCACGAGCTAATCATTAAACTCTTCCATTGACGGCCTGAAACGGTACGGACAACGTTGTCATCAACGGATTTCGGAACCAACAATTTGAGTTGGAACAATATACAAATGTTTAGTAATCATGTAAAACCTAACCTAAGGGCTAATTCTAGAAATATACCTACATGCCGATAAGATTGAGAGGTTTTTAGTTACATGGGATGTGGACCGACGTTAGAAAAATAAGTGCGTGGCAAGACATTTAAAGTTTAAACCATATTATAGCCAAAGGTTTCGGCGAAGTGCTTAACACCCAAATAATTATTGAATGGACGATACTACATTTTTCTTTTTTTTCGGTTTAATCAAATCTTTACTCGGCCATAGTTTTTTTTGTAATTGGTTCCACCGTTTTGTGAAACAGATCAACATTTATGATAAAATGGCTTCCAAACCCATAGGTTCTGATCACCAGTGTTTTATGCAACGGTGTCAACTGAATTTGAATTGAAATGTTAATCGAGTGACTTAGTCAGATCAGCGATACTTTTACACATTAAAGCTACGCCTAAAAATAGACTTAAAGATAATAATCTCTGTTTTTTTCCTGACGTTTGATGTGGTAATACTTAAGGAATAAAAAAAAACACAAAATAATTAGGTGTAATGAGTTTTTTTAATATTAGCTAAGAGCTAAAAACTTTGCTGGTTTTTTGAAGTTAATTTTTTACATTTTTAACCTTTCAGCAGTACCAATAATGCCACACTAAATGTGTACACTAAAACGAATCTATGTATTATTATTATGCATGTTTTATAGTCGTCCGAATGCGTTATAAGAGGCAATAATAATAACAAACCTAAACGGACCTACTAAACCTACTGGATGGATGAGTAATCTCAAAAATACATTTTTAATAAACTACCCCGGATAGTTCGAATAGCTTATATTATAAAAATGTACCTACTTATTAAATAAAAACTTATCAAATAAACTCGCTTGTCAATAATAATAAAACAGATCATTGAAGTTAACAGTGATTTAAATATTAAGTCTTGTGTTTTAACAAAAGTAAAAAAAAAACATTTAATAGATTCTTTTTATTGATAAAACCATTTGGTCTTTAAAAATTCGAACGAAATAAATATTTTATATAATTGACCCAAAAGAGGTACAGTTAATAAGTGCGAGGGTAAGCAATTCGAAGGTGCACAATGACCATAATTCATAAGTATTCAGTATTCACACATGACTTCAATGAGCATCACAAGTGATCAACTAAAGATCTTTAGTGTGAGGAAAACTGACCGTTTATTATAGCTAATCGGGTCCGATTATGTACTTTATGTTCTCCTCGATAGCTGTGCAAAACGGTCTGTAAATTGGTCTAATTTATCTAATTACATAGTATTTTTTCTTAAATTTATAATTACATGTGCTCTTTGTTGCTGTATTGATTATGGTTGCAGAAAAACAATCGACAACATTACTATCAGTGTTTCAAATCGTTTGTAAGCTTAAAGGACTTTTTGTACAAATAGTCTACAAAAAATATGTGTATTGCACAAATGGTATAATACAAAAGAAGTCTACTACAATAATGTCAATTGAAAAAAATATATTATTTAACCAATTCAAAAATGTTTTATTATGTTTTATGTAAACAAAACTACATGCAACCATGTAGTTTAGTTCTGTCAAAATATGTTTTTTAAATCAATTTTAATGTTTTTGTTTTAAAATAAGCCGTTAAAAAAATAGCCCAACCACATATTTTGAAGTCTAACAAAGGCTAAAATATTTTAATACCAAGAAATTTCGTTTATAATTTTAGAATCATATGTCGCAATGGAGATTGAATATAATATATTATCTAATTCAACTGTATTACAAATTCAAGAAATTTGTCAGAGGAAATAATTAGTTACAATAGTTTTTTATTGTTACCACAAAGACAAACATTACTTCGTACCATAAGACCCTTTAGACCACGTTTCTGACGTGTTGAGATTTGTGACTATATCGAGTTAGTGCAGTTAGAGTGCCAGGCTATAGGACGAACGACTAATAAGAGTCTTGTACTACCCCGTTATCCACATGGAATGTTTACCAAAGCGTTCTAGATGGAACCGATAGAATCAAGATTGTAGGACGGCACTCTACATTTCAAAAAATGGTTCGAACACATCATGCTAACATCTGGCGGTTTCTTAAAAATAATCAGCGCGACGAAAGAGACAATTATATTCTTATAACGCAATTACGCCACAGTAGAATTCGACATGCAGTAAAGAAATCGTATGGTTAGGTCAGGTTGTGCAAGTCCAAAACATGGTTCAATATTATGTAGAATATAAGAATAATAATTAAATTGATACATATTTGAGAGGTATAAGTTACCTATCGTCTTAAAATGAATCACCCTAAAACTGACGAAGAGCAAGAACCACTTGACGGTAAAACAAAAAAAGTACATATTTTTTACTGTAGACATTTAGCCCGTTTGTAATTATTATTGAAAAAATATATGTTTTCTATTTAATAGTTAGTCTAGTACCTATGCTCTTTCATCTATCATATTTAAGATGCCATAGGTTTAATGAAAGAAAGAACTCAGCTAGGGGTAAAACTAAATGGTTTTGATGGAATGATGATATGCTAAAATTTGCGGATGATGTAGTAATAATAGCTAAAAAAGAAGAAGACATACAGAAAATATAAAATCTCAAATACCGTGCAGAAGACGATGACTAATTAAAATAATACAAAAACTACTTAAGTTCTTGTTTGCAGTAGGAACAATTAGGCTATAGTATGAAAATATATTTACCTATAAGGAAATCAAAAAAATAGAGTAATTAAAAGATTTACACACGTATTTAGAAAGTATAATAAGTGCGGTATAAGAAGTATAAAATAAATAACAAAAAAAAAAAAAAAATATGCCAAGCTAAAACAGCATTTAATTAAAAGAAAGCGCCTCTATACTTCAAGAACTGCTTAAAGGCTACCCACCCAATAATATAGACCAAGGTATTGATGTATGTAAACAACTCCAGTTACAATTTAACAAGCTCGCCGTGTTTGTTTTAAAGGCCCTTTCTTTTTATTTTAATTATGTTTTTCAATGCAATGAAAGATAAAAAATATATCAATAACGACTTCGCGTACGACCTCGCGTTTTCGATTGTATAATTTATTACTGATTAAATTTTCTTTTTTTTTTGGCGGAAACGTTACAGTTTTTAATTATTTATATTATACTCCAATAAAACCCCATTTTTATCGTATCACCAATGCACGGCGGTTCTCAATTGATACTAAGACGGCGCAGTTTATTTAGATTTCTGTTCCCTATTGCACATTGTCGTATGAATGATTTACCAAGATGTCCCATCTTACGGCCATTATAACTAGCTTTTATTGATTAGACATTGCATATTGAAGCGGGTACAACCTAGCCTGACCCGACCAATCCATTTATGCACAGTGTCGTGACTAATCTGCAGCAATCGAACGTTGTAAATGTTTAACCAACTTTTTGTATTATATACCTAGTAAAATATTGTTTCTCAGCAATGGTTAATAATATAAAGTGATTTTAGGACGGCAAGAAGGCGGCTAATAAGATGAACTAATTTTTGACTTGCACGCTAAAAGTTTTGCCCTCTTGGACTGTTTCGTGGACGTTGGTCGATATAAGACTTCGAGTAAGAACTTTTACCATGCCTCTTGTTATTTTTTAAACATTAAATCTCCTGCTAAAATTAAAATATGAATGCAGTATGGGATGTGTTAGTATAATATACAGGGTGCCCGCAAAAGAATAAGTAGGTTTCAAAAATGTGTAATTTTTTAACTGCACAATAGTTACAGAGATGAGCGACATCTTAAAATAACCGGTATGTTCTATAGTTTATTTAGGGGGAAAAAAGAGTCACAAATACATAATTGACATAGATAAAAAATCTATGTCAATTCCAACTTATTCTTTTGTTGTGTTTAAGATTATTTTATCGGATAATAAGTACAGCCTGATCAAAAAATTAGATAGAAAATACTTTCTTAGGTACTTTTAAGGACCATTAATTGTGCCCTATCAACGATTTTTTTTGACATTTTGAATAATGTGGCTTATATTTCTTTTTAAAAAATAGTCTTATAATTTTACAAAAAATAATCATTGAATTTAAAAAAAAACCTCTTTGAGGGTGAAAAGTATGATGCTTAATATTTCGATTAATAATAAGTAAGGTGATAGATATTTAGGGATTGCTTCTCCTTGTTTTTGCACAAAAAAAAAGGATGAGCAAATGAAAATATAAGAAATGTGTGGCGTCGACTTCTTAACTAAATAAAAAACCGAGATAGTTATTTTAGCTTAAATTTATAAATTATTGAAATTTTTCTTAGTGGTATTTTTAGTTGCCCAGTCAAAAAACTTGTTAGGAAAGCTGTACTTGTAAAACAAAATGTTTTTTTTAGACAAACGTTAATAATAGAATCAAACATCAGGTTTAATCTGATAAAAAAGTTTTTTTTTTTTTATTAGGAAAAACAATCTGTACAAAATAAATTTACAATAGGTTTTTTTTTACATTTTCAATAACATAGCATTAGAAGCGTTAAAGAAAGTCACCCAAAGACAAATGTTACACCTCAATTAGTCTTATTTATAGTTGTATTTTAGTTTTGATTTTATTGTTGTCGTTATTTTGTAATGTCAAAAGGTTTCAGTTGCGTTTAAGTCGATCATTGAAAAAGAGTTAGATTTTGCCGAAAAATTCCTTACATTAAAATAATTTATTGAATTGAAATTCCCATATTATAACACTCAAGTACCTTTTTATAAAATGATCACACGGCTTTCAATGTTAAAGCCAAATAAAAAAAGCCATATATTTACTATAATCGTGTTTTACACAGTTTTATTCACAAACAAATAAGGCACTTTTTCATTATATAACAATGATTGACATGTGTTGTTATTTATTACACACAATTAAATAGTTTTTGTTTTTTTTTTTTAATTTAATAATACTGCATACAATCGTTTATACTTAAGAATTACCACACACTGTTTAGATACTTTTTTTTCATTAGCCATAATATCCTAAAAACATGGCTAATTTATAAACGAAATTAGGAATTATTTTCAGAAAAATATTTTTAACCAAAAAAATATGCTTTGAATACATAATAAGGTATTACTTGTCAAATCCACATTGTGAACCTGATCTATTTTCATGAACCTATTCAAAATAATGAAATTCAGCAACTTCGGTTAAATTGTAACAAACAGCGGAACTTAGACCTTGAAACTTTTTTAATTATTATTTTGTAAGCCGGTCGGGATAGAAAATTTCCGTAAACACTCAGAAATTTTCTGGAATATTCAAAGAATTCAAAAGAATAAATTATAGCCAACGATCCTCGAGTAATGCACGATTTTAAATTCTTAGTGCCTATGATAGGCTATGAAGAACTTTTGCTTGTTTAACTATTTATGCATTATGTACTATTTATTTATATTGTGTACACAATTTCAGTATTTTTTTAACGTTGTATAGCTCAAATTGTTTGACTCGAATATGTGGATGTATTTATGCTTTTTGTTACGTGTGGTTTATGCATATAAAAATGAGGAAAAATTAGTTAAACTAGCTGACGTATTTAGAAATATAATTACAAACATTTGAAAAATAGGTAGGCATACAATAGGTCTAAAATGTTTCAAGATATATTATTTTATCTATAACATTTAGCATAATGTCTGATATAAAAAAAAAATCTTTAAATTCAACTATAATTAAATTAATTGGTTAATATTATAATTTATATTCTATGTATGATAAAACAAAGAAAAAAACACGACTAGGTAAAGATTAAAATTTTTTTTGTAATAGCTCACACCAGATCTTTCATCAGACCAATTATTTCCTCACACAAAAATTAACCCTTAAAAGTTATCGTCGGTCTAAATTTCAAACGCAAAAAAAAAATTCTTTACAAAGTGCCATCAAGCCAATTCAGTGTTTATTATTATTTTTTTTTTAATGCATCATTGTATAAATGAAATATCTCTTACTTTAAGCATATAAAAGTTAAAAGTGCATACTATTATTATATATATATATATATATATATATATATATATATATTGTTGGAAGTGTCACTAATGAGTGGTTTCTTCCATCAAAATGTATTCATGTAATTTATCTCTACTTTTATCATCTATGATGCTTATTGTGCTCATTGTACAGATTGTATACTTCTGATGTAAAATAAAAAAAATAAAAAAATTTATATATATATATATATTGTAGTCAACTCACCGGTACATTTCAGGGCATCGCGGGCTGTCCGTCGGAAGTGGAAGAACCGGAAGCGGTCTGTGCCGGACGACGTGCTGTCTGCGTTTGCCGTTACTGGTCCGGCTATGGGTGGCTCAAAGGTCTGGCCGAAAACGGTCCTCGTGTAAGCACGGATAGTATAATACATATATATGTATCGTACATTAATAATATACACACAATAGCGTATCCACGGACGGCCGAAGGGGGCGGACGGACGCGTAAATGACTTTTTAATATTGTTCAGTTCTTATTCCGGTTTCGGGTCTTGACGGCAGCGGTCGGCGGGCTGCTGCGAACACTGAGGCGGCGTCGGGCCGTATAATATTATACATATACATATATATATACATCTGGACGTTATAATAAGGTATTATCGCGCTGAACGGCAACTCATGGGCCCCTCGAGAATACAAAACGGCGGGGTGGTGGTCGAAGGCGGACCGGGAGCGGGGGACGGGGGATGGGGTGGAAAGCGACTAGGGTTAATGGTGAAGTGTAAGGGGGGGGCAAGATGGAAAACACAATATTCTCGCCCTCACGTCCGTATGTATGTACTACCGCGGCGTGCCGTCGGCCATTTTGACCCGTAAGTCCTTCGGGCCCCGCCGATTGGTCGTCGGACCTCCGCCAAATTGATTTAGCCCGGCACGAAAGGCGTGGCCGCCACCGACACGGGCGCACACTACGGCCCCGGCGCGATCGTCCCCTTTTCGCCCGGTTGACGGCGGCAAACTAATAGGCGCGATATTAGGGGATTTAACGGCGTGAATAATGGTTGTCGTTCAGATTGTTTTCATGAGTATTTCATTTAGCCCCGGTGTGCACCAGCTAAGCCGGCGGCAGGACGGAGGGGCAGCAGTAAGAACAGCGGGGAGACGCACGAGCAGCAGCAGCAGCCAGCAGTGCCGGCTAATAACCGGGTCCCTTTCCGCGTGTTCACCCCAAAGCTATTATATATATATGACATGCACACACACACACACACACACTGTATACATCTATATATAAAGGTATAGATATATAGTATATGTACATAAACATTTATATAGAGGAGAGAGATAATGCGAGAAACGCGCACACGACCGACCGCGCCCCGATGGCTGTTATAATATTATAGACAATAATAATACCGTGGCCGCCGCACGGATTTAAACCAATTAAACGCTCTATACATATTATTATTACTTATGCATATATATATATATATATATATATATAAATAACACCTACAGTTTATACGCAATATATATATAGTGTGTATATGTGTAGTAAAGATACACACAAACAACGAGCACCGAACCCACACCGCGGCTGCTCAGCTACCAAAGTCTACCGCGTACATTGTTATGCGAAAAGTATACGATGATAGTAATAATAGTATAAAATAATGTGCTATATTATTTTTTATTTTTATTAAAAACGATAAAGCGTTTTCCCCGGGTAATTGGCGCGCTAATATACATTTTACATAAAGCACCTGAAATATATAATTACTTTTACCGTTTCGGAACGCAGATGCGTTTCAAAAACAATTACATCGGACACGACATGTATATAATTATTTTGTTTTACGGTTATTCATTCAAACGGAAAGCTCAAATAATTGAATTAGAGTTATTTCTTTTTTTTTTTTCACTGAAGTGGTGAAACCTATACCCGGTAGCGTCAGCGAATCATTATAAGAAAACGTCTCATCTGCGCTTATTTTAAGGAGTTTCGTATTTCGGCCAGAAAAAAATGTCTCAAAAAAATTTGCCTCAATAATACGTTTTTAAAATTGAATTTTTTTTTGGACATAAAAAAACTTTCTTACGCTTTATTTAGGTTTCCTTTACATCAACTGTGACAGGCAATCGTGCTTACCTAACCTAACCTAAATCCCAACTGTGGTCTCTTAATCTATATTGTACTTACCTATTTACAGGCATTTTTTATGCAAGCAAATTAGGAATGAGCATACGAGATAAATGGTTTGGTAATTGCCTCCAAAAGTAGAACAAATGTGAAAAGACAACTTGAGATAGTTTAAGCAAGACAAGAGGATAAATTAAATAATCATACTGGTAAGAAGTAAGAGAAACTATAGTTGATTGAGTCATTTGTAAAACAAACTTGTAAAAATACTTCGTACTGAATACATTTAACTATAAAATCTAATTTTAGACAAAAGATTTTCCTTTCTAAAGCACCACAGTAATATACAAGGAAAACATTTGGAAAACAGAGAGAAAGATGGGCTGCAGCGATAACACACAATATATAGATTGTCGTTGCAATCATATGTTTGTTTGACTGTCATCGAAAAACATCCAACGATTTGGTGGCGACTAATAGGGGTGAATGTCATTATAGACAACTGTCAAGTCACTATTATCGACTCCCTAGCGTGTATTCTACCCATCAGATAACATGCTCAATTGTATACTAAATAGGGATATGCGATAGTAAGCATAACGCAATAGTTACTATTTTATTTTTCAAGGATTGCACAAAATTGTAAGCACAAGTCACAAACATTATGCGACAAATTAATGTAAAATGTTGATTATTTTTAATTAATGTATTATGCTAAATTCACTATAGCCACTTGAGTTTTGTACACTTAATAGGTAGGACTTCCACACTCTTTGTCTTTTAATAATTTTATTTGTCATTATCAATCTATACCCCTTCACGATTTCTAACTTAAATATTGTGATATTATTAAAGCTTTTAATAAATTTCCCTACAGCAAAAGTTTGAGAGAATGAGAAAAAAGAGCAAATGAAAATCTACTATTCTAATGTAATAAATATTATACATTTTTTGTGAGGACTATCTAAGCATTATGTCGTTTACTCTTGAAATTTTCTAATGATAGACTTGATGACTGACTAAACCATAACATTATCTTTCTATGCGGTATAATGAATACAGTTGGACCTGAAAATAAGTTGACATGATCGAAATGTGTTAAAAATAGTTTTTCATCATATATATTGCCTATATTTCGCCCTTTAATAAATGGTATCGGTACCTTTAATGTTTGTATGCATGCCTTTTAGACTACTTTAAATATATATTTATGTACCCACCCTACCTACAAACAGAGTATATTATAGCAGACGGTTAAACTTAATTGTAATACTTACTAATTATTTGTGGTTAGAACGTTGTTCTTTTTATTATTATACTGTAGGTACAGGTACCGAGGTAAGTATAATGTTTGTTTTCACACTAGACAGCTTATTAAAATATAATTTGGCGGCCCTTGTGGGGGTGAAACAAATGATTATATAAGCCGAGATAAATGGCTGGGGCACTATTAGACGGGTTGTTACAAGCACGATTATAATATAAGCAAGCAAAAATGTTTTAACCTTATATTGATTATATCTGTGGAACAGTAGAGACGCTGCTGTTGTTGGAAAAGGTGAAAGTTTATATTTATATATAAATGTAAAATAGGTGTATAATCATGTAAACTTACTCCTGCCGTTCGTTCCCATCCCGTTTGCATGGCGGCCATTATTCAAAAAATTATCATCATCCTGCAAAGTACGGTTAGGGCGATAATGATCTCCGTATAACGGGTTAATAACAATATTATTTCTGTACATACAAAACGGCTGTACCTATACCGTGTAAAATATCTGTGTATATTAAATACACACCATTGAAGGTTAAACGCGTTTTACGGCAAGAGCAGGTTTATTATATTATGAAAACGGCTGAAATAAATTTGTATTACCTGCACAAGGGGTTGTTGTTAGCGCTTCATAATTATTAATTATGCCTATTTAAATGTAAAACACAACTAATTGCATAGATTTATTTCCATTAAATCAAATTGTAATGAAAACAAACTCCGTTTTGTGCCGCGGTAAGTGCGATTAAACGTTGATTAACCGTTGTTATTATCCATAGAACGCGGACTTAATTAAATAATAATAATAATAACAATATAGATAAAATGGAATAAAACTGTAAAACTTTTAAATGAGCCCATCAATATAACATTTCGGTAATTTCAAACTCACCTAACACTGTTTGTTTATTTATTTATTAGTGACAACATTTCAACATAATACCAATAAAATGAATTCACCTAAAACATAATTATGTACATGACTAAAGCACAATTAAAAAAAAAAACTATATAGAAAATATATTAGATATTAATATCTAAAAAAACCCCCCGAGCCAAATTATTGAAACTAAATTATTCAAATTTATTTCTATAGCGTCTTCTAATTCCTTCATAGAAGTTCATCGTTTGGAAGATAATAGCTGGTTCGAACTTGCTAGTGTAAGGAATTGTGGGAATGTTTAACCCCTATTACAACCGAGGACCTAAATGTTAATGACATCTAATTTACTAATAGAAAAACATTAATTTATCAACCTCAATTACACATAAGTCTATTTTCGGAATAGATACATTTCTTGTAATATAAAAACATTTCTGTTGTGTATATTATTTAAAATATTACAACCTACTTTTGACACATTGTTAGAGCCGTGAACCGTCTTGTAAAGTATGGCTTTACGCTTTTATATTATAAATTATAACATAGAGTAAGTGGTGGAATGGGATACTGTAGATAGAGAGGGGAGAGGAAAGTTAACATTTTAATAGGTACTATAAGATGTACTCATGATTCAATGTTTTTCCTTTAAGGAGAAAAAGATATTTTTTTATCGCATAAAACTGTTTAAATCGTTTAAACAAATATAAGGATAGTTGTGTTTTTTAAAAAAGAAATATCTTAAGCGAATCATATCCATGTAGTAGGATTTGTTAGTTGTATGGGTTCAGTACATTTTTGGCAATTCTTTCAAATCTCTTGGGATGTGGATGTGATATGCGAGTATCGTTTTCGCTTTTCCATAGTATCCGAAAGTAGTTTTTATTTCTTTTATCTTGCCTCGGCTGTATAACAATATATTCATTTTTCATGAGGTATTTATTAAACTTTATTGCGTCGATCCTTAAAAAAAAACACAACGACGAATTCAATAAACGCGAATGAATCCATAAAACCCAAAAAACTTTATATTATGTTTGAGCTTA